GGTTGAATAGATAGATGGAACCCTAATTGATGTTATGATGATCATCATCATCAACAACAACAACAACAACAACAACAGCAGCAGCACTAACATTGGCAAAACTTGCTGTTGTTGTTGTTGGTTTGTCAATGCATTTGCGGCACACGCTGCGTATGAGTAACGTGCGACAAAGGCAAAAACGGCAATGGCTGTCTTCTGCCAACACTGTACACTTGTGTGTGTGTATGAGTGTGTGTGTGTGTGTGTGTGTGTGTGTGAGTGTGCAGATACAATTTGTAATGATACACAAATTAGTATCCTAAATGGATGCTTAATAGCCTTGCATGTCTATGTGGGTGCGTGTCCCTTAAATGTGTGTGCTCCATCCATCCATCCATCCAACTAGTATACAACTGTACGTGTATATGTTTGTGTGTGCACATTTTGACAAAGTCCCAGCCACACCCGCACATACAAACACACACACACACACACATAAATGTAGAGAGACATAGACAGATAGACAGACATTTATGTGGCCATCCATGTGGGCACTTAGATATGTAGAAAGCAGGTTATTGCGCCCTATTCGATGATGCTCTATGTGCATGAATATTTCTACGATTAAGTGAGTGAGTGTGCGTGTGTGTGTCAGTGTGTGCGTGTGCCTGCACATTGAAGCTATCCACAGCATAAAGGCAGCTTTAAGTTATTTGCTTGAGATCAAATCTCGACTAAAATCTGTTAATGGGGTTTTACAAATCTTTTTTATTCATTCAATCAGTCAATCACTCATTCATTCGTTCAATATTCACATATATTAATAATGCAGAGCTAATTGCGTGAAACAAATAATTCAAATTGCATGCCTTTCCACAAAAATAAATGAGCTTATGGACACAAATTAGCCAAAAAATCAAGCTGCTGTGCATAATTAATTCATTTGCTGGATTTGAAAATACTTTTGTTGTCTGCCAATGCCTTTTGAATTGGTATATCGAATATTAATCGGTCGAATCATTTCGATGTAAAGACAACTTTGCGTTCTATTGTGTTCTGAAGAGAGCGAGATGTAAGAATTGATTGACATTGAAGTCCAAAGCGTGTATGATTTAAGTTTAGCCAGCTTGTTGATTATGTTACTCATTTTGGAGAACTCTCATTTAAATGTTCCTACATTGGAAGACAGAATTAAGCAGAAATTAAAAACTGCAGCTCAACAACGAATCGCTACTTAGTGTTTAGCAGCCATACACCTCGAAAAATCAGCACCAAGAACTATAAAATGTTTGTTGAAATGCAACATTAATCATCAGTAATACATCTGATTGATGATATTTTTTATTTTTTTTTTTTATTGGGATTAAGTCGGAAGAACTGCATACTCCGCCTCTTATATATCGTTACTTGTTTCAATAAGAAAAACTTGCTGTTCGCAATTTATTCCTACATTTTGACAAAATAGTCAGTCTAAGCAAGTTCTTAGACACATAATGGAGCTTAAAACTCGATTTTTCATGAATAATTATCATACAACAGCGCTCAAATAAATTAAAAAAAAAAAAACAATCATCTATGACGCTTATGCTTAGGGCATTGGAATATTAAAAACAAGGGGTCGTCAATCATTAATACTTAAGCTTTCTTCAAATATGATAATATTAAGTTAAGCTATCTCCGGAAAGGAAACTTTGTTTAGTCTCCAAAATTATTTAATCTAATGCCATTTACTACTAGTGTCAACTCTTCTGTTCCCTTGACTTTAAAGTGAGCTAATATCTTCAACTAAATTGCAATTCGTAAAGAGAGATATTTAAATCAATTAATTAATCTTTTTGAAATAGCAAACAGTAAGGCAGATAGGAATTTGCTCATGTATTCGTAATTGCCAAAAAGCGAAAAGAAATTCCGGACAAAAAAGCAATTAACTGTATGTGTTCAAATAAGAATATGAATAGGAAAATAATGAATTAAAAAAGTTAAATGTAGAATAATAATAATAAGAACTAGTACTAAGCCAGCAAATGGTTTCAAAAAACCACGCATACTAAGTAGAAAGCAGAATGCGATTCGAAATTGAAACGTTGGTTGTTCGTTTTTATTCATCATATTAAATACATAAATATTGTGAATTAATAATATAATTAAAGCTATCATAAGAACTTTAATTAACCGTAATTCAAACTAAATATCAACGACATCTTCTATTATATTCATTAAATCGAGATAGAATCGGATTTTGGCAAAAGAAGATTTTTTGTTGAGTTCCATTTCAGTTTTCAATTTCTTGTCCATGTAAATGATAAAAGGAAAGGTTCTTTTTTAACTGTAATTAGCTGTAGTTAGTAATAATTTAATTACTAATTAAGCAAAATTTACAATTCTGTCAGACAGACACAGACCGAGAGGTCAATGAGCAAAGAAGCGAGGAAAACATGTTGGAGGGAAGCTGATTCTAAAACTGAACTAAACAGAAATGTAAAATGTCCTTCAGTTATTAACCACAATTTTTGAATTGATATATAAAAGTATTATAATTACAGCAAACAACAGATTGCAAAAGCTAATGCACTTTATTTTCATTAATAGCTTCAAGTCCTATTCAAGCCCACCAATATTATTAGGCAATCAATCGTTCAGTTGGCCGATGGCAATATTTTTCTACAAAAGTGACACAACTATTCAAATATTGGAGTCGAACAAAATTTAGCCAGTGATTATTTATAATCCCATCAAAAGCGTCATTTTTACTTGGGCTTTTAAGGCTTTTCACTTTCACTTATCAGTTTCCTATTGCCTTCTTCCAAGCTACTAGGACATTTTTGATGTATAAATGGAAGTCCATTTATTGATGTAAACATCGTCTTTCTCAATATGTCTTCTAATAAAGAATCATTCACGATAGGACTCTTATATCCCATGAAAAAAATTCAAATGAATTCCAAAAACTCTGCCGATACATCGCAATAGTTTCAGCGGACGAGGAAAATGGACGCAATATAGATGAAGACTTTTAAGTTCTGTGGAAGAAACTCTATTAAAGGAGACAAAAAAGTGTGTAAACAATGACGAAGACACAGATTTCTTTATAAGTACTCTTTACAATTACCGGACTTGTCCATTTAGGATACAATTTCATGTTGATATTTTGATATTTATAGCTTCAAGAGTTCGTCTTTGTTTCATAATAGTATAATGAATATTATTTAAGGTTTTAATTGCTATCAAATACTTCTACAAATAGTATCGCATATTTTCTCATCAAAGCAATAAAAAATATTTGATTTGACACAAGAATTAAACGAACATGCTTGCGATGATAATAAGTTTATGATGTGGCTTTAATCCCCAGAGTTGAATTAAATAGTTCCAATCCGTATTGTCTGTAGAACTGAGGGCAGAAACAAGATAAATAAGACATTGTAATAAATATGCCTAACACTATACATTTCAACGATTAAGTGAATAACTCAAAAAACTATAGAAACTATATATACATAAGTGAACGGATTTATCTAAATTCCACTCATTAAAACCACTCATTCCACTCATTAAACATACAAGAATCCACAATTTTCGAGCAATTTTCCTAAACTCCATTGTGGTGTTTAAACATAGATTTCAATTAATTACAAGTAAATTGAAGCTACTTAGAGCTTTTGACTGATTGACACTTTAAGGTTATTATTTTGGTTTTCTTCGGCGATCGTCTTGTCAAATGCTGGGCTTTAATTAATTCACAGTTTTAACCAAACTTTACATTATTCAGATGCTGTCAGAATTCTTGCAAGGCCATAAACTGGTTATACCTCGTCTTATAAAATGCAGCCACGAAGTTTACTCAGCTTACAAGCTTACATGAACACCATGAATAGATACGGACTTAAACATATTCAAATGTTTAATTGGTTGTGCAGACTCGAAGGCATAATTGGTTTATCATTTTGTGAGCCAACAGAAACAACAAATTACACTTTGGAACAGGTAGCTGGTTGTACTATGTTCGAGCTCCAACTCATCAGAATATTGATAACAAACTGAAACAGTTAACAACAACACTTGAAAAAATTTGGCTATTTGGCTTCAATTTCGACTTGTTCCCCCTCAGCGCGCACTGATAGCTTCTTTATTTCAATTGACTTCCATTGAAAACTTGAATTTGATTGAACATTTAAGAAGAAACTGCAAATAATTACTTTTAACGAGCCAAAAAGCTTTTGTATATTTTTGCAAATCTAACGCATAGGTGGATAATGATTAAGATAATGATTTCAATGAATACTAATTGAAAAGTAAAATGCACTAAAAATGCTTAACAACTGCTGCAAATGTTATACTTAATGGATACGTTTTAATCATAGATGTTCATTCAGATGCTTGACATTTTAAGACATCTTCATTTTGAGCTTCCAGCGAATCCAATAAGTATAATTTCTGAAGTCACTGAAAGTTCGATAAGAGCCGCTATAGTCGCCATAGTTCTTAAAGGCTTTAAGTGTTTCGCTTTGTGAATGCCTGCCAGGCAGCGAGGCAGCGAGGCAGCCAACCAGCCAGCCTTCCAATAGTATATGCGGCAATTAAAGTGCTCGCTTTAAATGGCATTTTGTAATGCCAAAAGGGAAAAAGACGCAAGTTGTAATCATTTCGACCATGACGAGTCCGAGCCGCTGACTTGCGAAACAAAATTTCAGCAAAAAAAAGAAACAAAAAACAACAACAAAAAATGAGCAACGGAAAAAAGTACTGTATACATATTATACAAAAATAATCAACAATGGCAACAACAACGACAGCAACGATGTTGGCTGGCAACAATGATGAGCTTGATGGCGATGATGATGGCGACGATGCTGGCTTACACACACAAACACACACACAGACAGACACACATCCAGGCGTGCGTACATACATACATATGTATATTTGTATGACTGGCAGCAACAGCAGCAGCGATAGCAACAGCGACATTGGCGGCAGCTGCAGCGGCAACGGCAGCAACATCGACCCACACATAAAGGGAAATGGACGTGATGGTGACGATGTTTGGCCTAAGCGGCACGAAGGCACAACGACGGCGTTGTAAACGACGAGCCAAAGTCAGTGTGGAGCAGCATTTTGGGGCTTACAGTTCAAAGTATTGTTTTAAGGATTACAGAGATAGCGGCGCGCAACTGCAGCGCCATACGCCCCATAGCAACAAACGCCGTCGTTACCGTCGCCACCAATGCCTTACCCGTTTGGAAATATGAAAACCAACAGCAACAGCATCAGCAGCAAGAGCAACAACAACAGAAAGGCAAAAACGGCAAAGAAAATAGGCAACAACGCGCAATGCGCTGCGTCGACGGAGGGCCTTTGCTCTGCACTCAGGCTGCCACATTTAACGAAGACTAATTCATTGCGAGCAACAGCAACAGCGACGGCAGCAGTGGCTGTGGCAGCGACTTCGACAGCGACAGCAACAGCAACAACAACAGCAGCACCGACATATGCGAATCTTTATACTCCATTTTGACGCTCACACTGTGCTGCTGTCCGCTGATTGGTCAGCATGGCAATCCAGCTTGCAAGCATGCATTAGAGCGAGTCAGCTATACTGTTGGCATTTCAAACTGTGCTGCCTTTGCTGCTGCCCTTGCTGTTTTGCTCGACCAGCGGCTGTCAAACTGTATGTCAACAGTTCCTCCCATTTTTGCAAGTGAAGTGGCTCTGCCTTCTCTTCTCGCCCCTCCGTCGCTCTCTCTCCCACTCCATCGATTACGATGTCACATCGACTTTTCGCGCCATATTGCGCCATATTTGTTCGCTTTACTCCACTTTGGTGTGCGGCGTTCACAGCATTGCCATTGCCTGAAAGCGCCTAAAAGCGTGCACAACGTTTTGGCACGTTTTGGTCATTTTTCTATCGTCCTCTCTGAGCCGCGCGTCTGCGAAAAATATTAAACAGTCGGCCGTCAACATTTCTTGCTTGCGTGAATATTGTTGTTGTTGTTCTTGTTTTTAATTTGTCTCTGCTGTTGGCACAATTTTTTGAAATTTGTCGCTGTAGCTGAGATTAAGTTTTAGAATTTTGTATTTGTGGGAGGACTGGCATCGCATTGGTTTCCAAACAGCAGTCCGCCTGCTATGAGTTCTATAAAGTTTGCAACCATAGAATATATTTCTACAAATCTGTACACCGATAAATGGGAATTCATAAGCGATCTTCAATAAGATTTTGTAAAAAGGATATTTTAATATATATTTATATTTTTGATACGATTTTAAATTATAGTACTCGTATACATATGTAACACAAAAAGTCTATTCTTTTAACACAAATATTTTAGATTTGTGCAAATTTCACTCCAACAGAAATTAGTAATTTGTAATTCACACTAAGTACGGGTAGAGGGAGACATTGTAAGCCTATATGAATTACTCAAAAACATATGATCTAGATCAGAAGCATAATGGCTATTGTTATAGTGTTACTAGCCTATCTGCTCCAATAGGGTTTTCCAACCGCAGTGGCTAGAAACAGATAACAATGGCTCGCAAATAAATTGCTGCTTTTATTCTGATACACACTAAGATTTGTAGGAAATACGTTCTTTTTGGACGAATTTTTTGCAAGTAAGGGATTTTAAAGTTATGAATAATGACCACAATATATGCATGTATGTACATACATATATTGTATGTGTATTAAGTGAAATGTTCCTTTTTACTGAGGCTATATATTTACTTATAGGGAATATGTGTTATATTCTATTTTTTATGTTCATATTTCACATATTCTATTTATATTCTTAAGTTATCTTTATAAGGACTATATCTAATAGTCTGTTGAATCGAACATTTGTCCTTTGCATGTTACCATATATTGTGCATATATTATCGTTTAAGCCCTAAATAACCCGCTTTCATAATTTATTTATGTTGCCATTGAATTTCAAGCGTGCTGATCGCAGACAGCCCCAACATTGAAGCGTCAGTCTCAATGGACAGCGCTGTCCCTCTGACAGTTTGAGAAGTGCTGCCGTCTGCGCCTAAACGCCATCGATTTGAAGCTTAGGCGTATGTTAAACGCACGTTCAATGCACTCAAAACTGTGCCAAAAAGTTAAATGTATGTATGTTTGTATGTGTGTAGGTATAGGTACTTTTTCGGGTTCAAGTTGAAAATCAAGTGCGATAATTTGCAGTCGCACTTTCACTGAAACGCGTCGTGTTAAACGCGCTGGAGAGTCGCGCTGGCGACGGCGACAGTGGCGGTGACGGCGACGGCGCAACTTGCAAGTGCATTTTTAATAAAAAATTAGCCTGCCTTTGCCTTTTGCGTTTGTAATAAATTCAGGTTGGTCCTGATGCTGCCTCTTTTTCTTCTTCTTCGACTTTTTCTTGATGGCAAAAGCAAAAGTCGACAAAAGCCGGCAACAGTCGCCGTTGCCGCCGCCGTCGCCATCAATTGGAGAACTCCCCAGCGTTGCGGCAATAGCGGTGACGCCGACAGCGACGTCAATAGCGGCAGCGGCACGCTCGCCATAGCTAGAAGGAAGTGTGTCAGACATGTTCTGGAGAATAAGAGCGCGCGCGCGACGTCAGAAAAAGTTTACGTATAATGGAATAAATGTTGTTTCATTTTTACGGGCAAGCAAAAGCTCAGGAAATTTGGCGCGCGGCAGAGCGAGCGAGCACGCAGCAACAACAAAAGCAACAACGGTAACAAAATATATAGCGAGCCTTATTGGATCAAGAAAAACATGGCATACAAATGGGAGGCACACATACGCATTTGTGTATATTTGTGTGTGTGTATATGTGTTTTTGGCTTTCATCAAGCGCAAAACAAACGCGTAGCTTTGACGTTGACGTTGGGTACCAGCTAACGAAATTAAACAAGCAAGATAAAACGGGATGGCAAGATGGGTTTTGGCAAGTGCGCGTGCCGAAGAGAGAGCGCAACAACTTAACAGCATCTCGTTTTGTCACATTCTAGCAACGGTTGTCCTTTGGGCGCGCGCACACAAGCCCACACTTACACGCACACACAGGCATAGACGAGAGTTTCATTATTTTTCAAATTATTAGTACGACTAACGATTCGTGGTCTCACACATGCACATACACACATAAACGCGTATGCAACAAACCACCAATCGTTCGCGCACAACCCGCAATTGTCCCACAAGCCACCACCAGCATCAGCAGCAGCAACAACAACAACAATAAACATGCCATGTCGTTGCTTTTGCAGTCGACGTCGTCGTTGCTGACGTTGGCGTCGGCGGCGGCGGCACCAAGCACATGATCCTTAATTTCGTTATAATTTTGTATGTTGCCTGAAATTGTATATCATTTTAAGTTTGATCGGCCGCGAATACGTACCGTCGTGCGTGCGTGCAGCAGCAGCAATAGCAACAACAATAACAACGATTTAACACAAATAACAAGCACATGAACCAGCACCAACAAGAACAACAACGCATACAACAGCTAACAGACAATTCACAATGGTGTGTGCAGCAGCAACAACGACAACAACAACAACAAAAGCATAAAAAGGCAATTTTTCTTGACGGTTTTGTGGTTACACGGTTGTTTTCAGCTGCCCGCATCTTCTTCAACATCGTCGTCTCTTCCGTTACCGTCTCCGTCTCTGTCATCGTCAGCATCGTGTCTTTTTTGTTGTGTTTGGTGCCGCCGTTGTCAAAGTTTTGCCGCCGCTGTCAGCGCAATACAAACAACAAGCAACAAAACACAGTCGCTTAAACGGCATTAGACATAACGGTACACGTGGCGCATTCTACACACAAAAAGGCAGACAACAACCGCATCAATTCAAATGTTGTTGTTTTCAATTATTCGTCTTTCTTTTGTTCATTAATTAATTACCTACAAATGTGCGGCGGGCGTTGAGTGTAAAACTCTTTTTTTTCATGTGCTAATTTCCAGTGTGTCCACACCAAAAAATGTCATATGCTTACATAAATAAATATGAATGCAGTAGACCGTCGGCTAACAAAGCAGTTGAGCAATGAGCAACAACAACAACTAATACTACTACTACAACAACAGCAGTAATAGCAACGAAAAGCAAGAGGAAGAGAGTGCAGTGCTTTAAACGTATATAAGGCTAACAAAAATGTGTGAGGCCAGGCAATGATGATAAAATATTTGAATTAAACAACGAATTAAACAATTGATTTGACTGCAGCGCTTTGCATTTTATGTTTGACGCAACAAACAATAAACAATGAAATATAATAACATAAATAATTAAACATATACATATATACGTTATAGTAGTGAAGTTTCGCAAATTTGAAAGCTAAACTTATTAAAGGACGAAAAAAGAAAGCAATTTTCTTAATAATTCCTTTAACTATATAGTTGTGGTAACGGCGTGTGTGGCTGCCAACGTATCGGCAGTGCTTTCTTCTTTTTCTTCTGGTTTGAACGAGAACGCGCGCTTAGCACGCGTCACAGCTTCCAGTTGGATTATTCAATAGACTTTTTCAAAACGTATATCGATACGCAGCGTTTTTACGCCGGCCACAAATTGGATTTCAAACATCAAAGTTGTGCCGGCGGCCCTGGTTCCGGTGGTGGTGGTGGTGGAGGCAGCGGCGGCGGTAACGGCGGCACTGCTGCAGGAGTCGTCGGCAACACAACGAGCAGCAATCCAAATCAAACGGCTAGTAATACAAGCAACAACAACACAAGTAACGGCGGCAACGGAGGGAGTGGCGCCGGCAACGGTTCCAACGGCTCCAACTCAAGCGGTGGCCAAGCGCTGAACCACACACACACACACGCACACACACACACACACGCGCACGCACACGCTCACGTGTTAGCAGCGCACGCGGCACACACGCACACACACCCACACCAACTGCACGCATCAGGAGCCGGCGGCGGTTCTGGACTTTTGGGAGCCACCTTGCCCCAACAGCAACAGCAGCAACAACAACAGCAACAACAACAACAGCCGCCAACACTACAGGCTGCAGCACCACCGCAAGCGCACGCCGTGCAACAGCAACAACAGCAGCAGCAACAACAGCTGCAGCAGCAACAACAACAGCAACAACAACAACAACTAGTCACACTAAACAACGGCAGTGGCGTTGCGCCCACACTTCTAATTGGCAACGGTCCGGGCTCGTCGGGTACCGGTGGTGGTCACACAGTCTCCGCTGCTGCTGCCGCTGCGGCCGCTGCAAACGCAGCCGCTGCTGCCGCCAGCTCTATTCCGCACGTGGCGCCACATAGTCTGGGTTTGAGTCCACAGTCGAGCGCCGACTCGCAACAGTTCAACATTTTTCCGGCCATTTTCAGCCGGCAGCTGAATTTCTCGGCCGCTGCGGCGGCGGGCGCTTGCGGGCAAGCAGGAAAGCTGACGATGGACGAGCTGCGTCCGAATTTGGTGGGCGGGCTGCTGGGCCTGCAGCAGGGATTGCTTGAGGATCATGCCAATATGCAGCATGGCGGTGTTGCGCAGGACACCAAGTTCATGTCCTTCCAGGACAATCGACTGATGGGCATTGGCAGCTCGGCGCACGAGAATCGTCTGCTCAGTCTGGCCACATCCGTGCAGGATACACGCTCTCCCATCACCACGCTTGACAAATCGTCATCTTCATCGCTTAACCATCAGCGCAAGTGCAGCAGCACGCCGGAGGATTTTAGTGCTCTCTACTCGGGTCTGCCCACCCCGGGCATGGACTCCTCTTCGCATCATCACACGCCGGCGCATACGCCACCATCACGGCTCTCGGATCACACCATATCGGGTGAGTGTTGGACAGTTTGTCAAGCCACAATGGCCATTAAAGGGAATTAGCTCTTAACCCTTTAGCACTGTAGTCCTTTGTTTCGTGCCCCCTCGAGCCCAGTTCCATTGTCTGCCCCTCACACGCGTTGCAGCTTATCGCCTGTCAATTGACACTCTCTTTTGTGTTATCCTTTTTGTGCTTGCTTGCCTTCTTTTCCGCTAACCACCTTGGCCACTCACTCATCAACGGCTTAGAACGATTGTTTTGACCAGCAGGCGTTCCATGATTGTTCACTCAGCTGGTTTACAGTTTGCCAGATCGCCAGACTGCTGCCCCTATCTAGCTTCTAAATTGCAAAGATTTTCCACCAGGGTCCTTACCATACGTTAAAAGCCAACAAATGTCGATGAGGCTGCTGCTGTGTTTTTTGAAATTTGACCATTAACGCATGAGGGGTTTCAATCTTTCATAAGTCGCATAATTTGGGAAGACTTTTAAGTTGAAAAGTGGACATTTTATTTAAAATCAGGTGCTTGTATAAGTTAGTGAGCTTTTACTGAAATATTTGCTCAGATTTCTCGGAGTGGTCGCTCCAAAGTATGCAACAATTTTATGATACTAGCACTATTGGAATGATAATTCAAACGCTTCCATATTGTCTACAAACAGATCTTTTTAAAGCAGTGAAGGGATAGAAGAAATAAGAACACAAAAGAAATTCTTAGCATACCTGCCGGTTTCCCCAATCGGTTGGGTCGTCTTGACCAGATGTAAAGAAACAGAATAGTAGAGAGGCGAACCAACCTATCGCAATTATACAAGTATTTGTATAGTCAAGTCTCTGCATTCTAAACAGTTGCCGTTTACTTGAAATCGGGTCTATACCATATACGTTTCTAGATTAGATCAGATGGGATTGAATTATAATGAATTTGTTAACAGATTCCCATACTTAATGGCAATATCAGACGATCTACTCAATAACAAACCCAGATTTTATTCAGATTAAAGGTGGAAAGCTATGATCAATCGTTATAGAAGTTTTTCTAATTCACAAATTTGTCGAAATCATCTTCAGATCACCTTCCAACAGCCTTTACTAACTGGCCATATTGAATATATTTATGATATTTAAAACCGATTAGAATATTGTAATGTATTCAAATCATTTCACACATTTGTTATCAACAGCTGTTGAAAGTCGGAACATTGGCAACTAAGGGTTTTTACAATTTCGCAAATTAAATTTAATTCCGTTCCATATTAAGGAACAAAAACGATTTTGTTTATTGTTTTATTCTTGATACGAAATTGTCATGTGGAGCTAACTAATGCCTTAAGTCTAATATGTGTCTACTGAATTCTTCTCTTTAGTATTCAAAACAATTAAGTTGTTGATCTATCATTCCTAATAGCCATTTGCTTTTAATCAAAGAATGTGAATACGTTCCAATGCAAATTATAATAAAAGAGTTTGTTTAAAGCTTCAAAGGCGCATAAATAAAAAGCGAATTTCTATCAAGACATAGCAAATGGGTTAGCTTTACATTAATCGGAGTAGATCAGTCACAGGAATTGCCTTCAATTGCCCAAAATTTCAACCAATCATCAACCAATTCAAATACGTTTTAATAAGCAGTTCAAGGATAGGAATTAATTGTTTTTAGGAAATAAAATCACCAATCCATTCCATTTTCCAATTAAATCAAATCATCTCATTACACCAGGCATCCTAAATAGCTCGAGCATTCATCAAAAATAATATTAGGTCTGATATTTATTTCATATTGCTAAAAAAAAAAAAGCAGCAGCGAATCTTTCTTATTTAATGTTCTTTAATCTTCAGTTCGGAGAGAGTTTATACAAGTGTCGAGCTCGGAAATGGGTCGGCCTTTTAGAAATCACTAATCACTATTTAGCAATTTTGGGGAAAATACAAATTTCGTATAGCTTATAGACAGCTGAAATATGCTCAACATATAATAATAATGTCCTTGACATCTTTGATTCCCTGTTCTTTGATTCCCTGTTCAGATTAAGTTATAGTTTAAGTTATTCAAGAATTTGAATATAAATCAGCTTTGGAAACTGAAAGAACTATTCCAGCAGGGTTTGATGTGAGAAGGAATGTATTCAGAACGCTTTAATTTGATTTTAGTTTTGAGAGGTTCGATCAGAATCAAAACCTAAACAGCACAACTACTATGGATTAGAGTGTAGGTTATTTGATTCCTGTCCATCGACCATATTTCTCTATCAGTATAAAAATACGTTTTTGTTAAAAATATATTGCTTCCAAAACCCTATGAAAGGCTGGAAAAAATGCTAACACTACCTTCTCATTCGTTAGTTGATGAAATTAATTAGTCTACTGTTTCAATAATTCTCTCAAACAGAGAGAATTAGTAACAATATGTGTAGACTGTTTTCATCCTAAAATTGTCTACAAATTTGTGAGACGCAAATTTATAATGTGTACTCCATAGTAATATATAGGATTCATTCAATTAAAATGAAATCAAATGGAGAACAATTAAAAAACAAATCAATTTGGCTTAAGTTTTAAAGTCAATCTTGAAAATTGTAAAAATTGTCTGACCTTTTGGTATTGCAAACAATTTATTGCTTTACAATATTGGCTTACTGACAATAGAAAAAAAAGAGGAAAAGAATGTGAAATTTTGGTAATTTTAAAAATTTCGGTAACAAGCAAAGACTGTAACTTTTAAGAAACCAATGATTAAAAGTTCACTCCAATTGAAAAAACATATAGGATACAAAAGCTAAATTAAGCTTACCAATTTTCAGAAATTTAAGAATTGCAAGCACAGAAGAATTGTTTTTGAAAATATAATCTATCTATATAATCTACAAAGATTGTATTTCAATTTTTCCGCCTAAAAATAGAACAAGAAAGTATGTTGAAGTTATTAAATTAAATATAATTCTGGAAAGAGATCCATAAACAAGTTTAGGTCACTTTCAGTTTTGGAGTTCGCTACCAATTATGCAGAATCGAAATTCGTCAATAAGGTTTTGATATCCAACAAACGTTTAAATACGTTTAAATACTTAGGATCTGTTTTGTTTTATTTTGAAATTATAATTTAAATAATATAATAATATTCAGAATAACAATCAACAATAGCGATTCCATAACAATTGAGCATAAGCGGATACTGTTATAGATTTAGGGTAATTTCGGTTCAACGTTAGGGCATCGATATATATCGCCTAGATCTTTCGTTTTTCACAATATTAAGAGAATTAAGCAAATTCCATTTAAGAGGCTTAAGAGTCTCTCCTACAATGCAACTAACATGAACTCCAATATCTCCACAACGTTAAGACTTGATTTGGGAACAAGTATACTTTCTCTACTCTTTCTCACCTCTTCGTGGCTAGGAACAGGCATTTAATAGTGATAGCTTATTCTAATCATTGTGATTCTAAAGCTGGAAGAATACGAACTTATTCGAACTAAAACGTGACACTAGCCGGAGGTTAGAAATGCAGGCTGGTTTTATTCAAAACAAAATTGAGAGAAAGGTCTCTGCTACGAAGGTACTGATTTGAATTCGATAAATTCACGCACACATCGATTCAAGCGAAATGGAATCGATAATAGTAGTCCTGGAACTGTATTGAATAAAGTTTCGCTTTCGAAAACCAGAAACCAGCCAGAAATGTTCGAAACAAATGCAAACCAACACAACAAATGTTGTTGACCTTATTTGCCTCTGTAACAACAACAACTGTCCACAAAAAAAACAACAACAAGTAAATCAGAAATTCAAGGTCAATTGCATTAGTGCAACAAATGTCAATTAGGGAGTGTGGGCGGCAGTGAGGGAGACAGGGATAGGGAGCGAGAAAGGAAGACTTGTGCGCTTACTTAGCATAAATAGTGGAGTTTTTTCATTCGCTGGTGTGGGGAGGGGGGTGGGGGGAACGCGGCTGTGCTTTTGGTTAACGTGTTATTCAATTAGTGCGACAACCAAATTTATACACATACTTATACATAGACGAACAAATTCTCTCTCACACACACACACACACACACACACACAGATTATTTATGTATTTACATTTAGTTTAAAATTTTGCCTAACGAGCTAAGCGCGCCAATTAAGCGGCCAGACAGACAGACAAACGGACAGACAGGCAGGCAGGCAGACAGACTGGAAGGAAGACAGGAAGCAAGTTAATGGGCGGAGCAAGGATACGTATAGGACAGGTTAGGTCAGGTGCCTACAAAGGCAGTAGTGCCTTGTGACCTTTGCATGTGATTTGCCGCCTTTTGACGCGGCCAGGTGCGCCCCGAAAAATGCCAGCCAGCTCGATTAATGTACCAGAAATTTGCATAAATTATCCCATATTGCATATTCATGGAGCGGCACGAACGGACGGCGCGTGACCCAGCTGGCTAACCCCAAGTCGCAATTTTGCACCACAAAATGGCTGACAATGGGCGGTCGCCATCATCATCAACATTTCAACATCAACAAAATCCTTGGCGGTTGGAGTTCCGCCAACGTCTTGTGGCCGCAGTGTGGTTCACGCTTTTGGCTTTGCTACTAATTATGCAACATTTTCGGGTCGGGCTGTGTCGGCCTGGCTCGGATCAGTTCAGTTCAGTTCAGTTCGGGCCAGGTCAGGTTAGGTCAGGTCAGCCGGATGCGGTTAAACGTTTCATGCATATTAAAATCAGGTCGCTTTTGAAGCGGACGGCTCTTGGGCGCACCACGCACAGTGATTTTCATTTCATTCAAATACGAGTATAAGTAAAAAGGCATAAACGATTCACATTTTCATTCTCTATGCATTTCAGCTGAAGGTGCATTCAAGAAACTCAAGCCGGAACCAAATAGCGGTCTGTCAACGGTTTCCGCCGGTGTTACCTCGCCCGGAAGTGGACTATCCTCGCTAAGTCAGCATGCCGGCCATACTCCAACCACAGCATCCTGCCCAACACCAGCTAGACGACGACATCGAACCACATTTACACAGGTCAGTTACCGTTAAGTGCCTGTGCAATGCACATGCCCAGCCCCTAGAACTATCCCTATACCGATCCCTATCCCTACTACCACCACGCCTTGTTCCCGCCCCACACAGCTCCCGATGTCCGTCACACCGTAGTAGTTAGTCAGTTTAGTCGTTCAGTTTAGTCGTCCTGCTGCCTCCTCCACTTGCCGTGTCCCATCAACTGCACATAGTGAGAAATTTTAATTAGATTTTGTGAAGGTTACGCTGGTAATTAAAACTTTAGCATTCTCAAGTTGTACGACAAAAACAACAACAACAACAACAACTAGAATGAAATTAAGAATAGTCTGCGTCTGGTAACTGATGCCTTAGACACTGCTGCTGTTGTTGGTCTTATTCTTGTTGTTGTTGTTGCCGTTAGCCAGTTAGATTAGATTTGATTAATCCGGCTGCATCAGATTGCTGTCCCACACCCCACCAACAGTTCATCAGCAGGAGAGATTAAATATTTAATATGTAAGTCGCAGACTTGAGTTAAGGACCAATTAACTTCTATAAAGAAAATCTAGTCAATTATTTAGAAATAAAATACTATTTTATTTCGCACTAGTATTGTTAGCTTTAACCGATCCATTAGTATATATTTCGAGAGCATAAATTGATAATAGAGCCTAAAATAAAGTTGCAAGTCGATTTAGAAGAGCTTGCTTTGTAATAAAAAGCATTTCTGTTTTTTCTTTTTACCAGTCTAGAATTTGAGAGTCAACGCTTTTTTTATAACCCAACAAGTCATCTACTTGTATTATTTAGAAATACTTTCCAGGAGCAGCATTTATTACAATCTAACTGATCTGAGCAAACTTAAGAATAACTTTGGCACCAGATCGAAATCGTACAAGTAAATCAATTGATTTTATTTAATAGCTACTCGATTTAATATTCGACGTATCTTCACATCGTTAGGGCACCAACTACCTTTCGCCAGCAGCTGTAATGCGAAACCCTTCTTCTGACACTTCAATTGTGTTTTTAAACGACATTAATTCAGAAAAAAGAAAAAGAATTTAATTCAATACAGTCGACTATTATTTTTTATATTTGTTATGTCAGAACTTTCGACTGGGTGAATCGATTTTGACGAAGGAAAACTCTTCTATATACCTAGACATAATAATACGAGCATAATTTAAGAAATATGTTTGTTTACAAAATACTTTTATATGAAAGGCAATATGCTTGACACTAGCACATCTCACCTATAACCAGTTACAAACCGACTCCAAAAATAACAATAATTGTTCCTATATTATTGTAGAAGAATGCGCAAATGTTTGTTGTACTTTTTAGTGCAAATTAATTTGTTTTGGAATAGTTCAAAGTCGGTTTTTTGTTTATTTAATACGTCTTTTTTGTATCTTGGAAGATGATGGCATATTTCCAATTTTATTATAAAGGGCGTAAAGTAAAAGTCAACTTCTGTCAGTCACTGATTTTAATGCCTGAATTATCTCTTTTTATGACACAACAGAAACACGAACTCTGCCAATTATTAAGCCCTTAATTTATTTGGGGCAGATCATCTTTAATCGACATGGTGGGTTGAAGAAGAATTGCATCTGAGCATTGAGAGCAAGAGTATTGTAAAGTTTTTGTTCTGATTATGAGAATATCCGATATTAAATATGTATTTACATATATGTTTTGCCCAAAAATAATGGGGGGATGGATTATGGTGCAGAGAGCATCCCATTAAGTGGGTAATCGAGTGTGGCGATTGTTGAGCAAAGGCGACTCAACCAACACTTCCTTCCCACTACAACACACTCAAGAGGAACAACAGGAGCGGCGAGAGAAATACGACTTAATTAGCCTAATTTAAATCCGCTTTATTTCAGGAACAATTAGCCGAACTGGAAGCTGCATTCGCCAAATCGCATTATCCAGATATATACTGTCGCGAGGAGCTCGCGCGTACGACAAAGCTGAACGAGGCGCGCATACAAGTAAGTAGTCGTAGTTATACATGCTTCTCTATATACTTATATAGTAAATATATACATGAATATAATATGTATATAAGTACATATGCATACTCTATATATATATATATACTCTATATATATATATATATATATATATATATATATACATTAATGCCCTTCAAACATACCCAAGTCCCATGGAGCCGCGCCCAGTTGGGCTCTCAAATTATTTCAACAGTTGTTTGCATTTGGGCCAATGCCTCAAATGGCTTTGAATGCTGCTGCTGCTGCTGCTGATGATGATGACTGTGATTGTGATTATGATGATGATGATGATGATCTCGGTTAGCGATTAGCGCCTGATTATTCCAAGCGAGTGCTTCACATTCGGGTGTCGCGCTAAAGTGCTCTCGTGGCGGCTACAAACGCCAGCCGGAGCGAGCAACCCTCGGGGACAACCAGGAACAACCAGCCCTGGTGCTGCCGGTCCATCACCATCCACATGTGCGTGTCTGGTGGGCTTTCGAGTGCGCCGCGGTAATAATTAATTTATAGTTTTATCATGACTGCGACTGTGAAACAAGTGTAGTGTGTGTGCGTGAGTGTGTGTGTGTGCGCGTGTGTGTCCTGGCAGGGACCGGAACAGAACGGAACGGCAGGGGTTGGCTTCACTTCAGTTCACAAAAAAGTTCAAATATGCATTGCCTATATCTAGTGTTTGCGGTGTAGAATTACACGTGGCAGGAGGGAAGCAAATACACTAGGATGTAAGAAATGTCAAACGCATGAACCGAAGAAAGGAGTATTGAAAAAGAAAACCAAGAAAGCCAAAACTGAATAAAATGTAAATTCAAGCGATAGAGTATGTATGCGTATTTAAAGAGGATAATCCTTAATTCCAGCACCATTAGTCTGCAAATATGTACTACATAGAGGAAACTTGGTTTAGTTAGAAGATAATCTCATTCCTTAATGCATTCCTCAACTAGTGCTTTATTTGGATCATAGTCTTTAGACTAGATAGTATTTTGTGAAAGCTATGGAAGCTGGCATTGATTGCACTTCGTATTAATTACAGCATTCTTCCACAATTTTCAAGCATTCAATATAAAATCTTTAGGCTTTAATACAAATTTTAAAGCCCGTGCGAAACAGTGTGGACCCAAATCAATAAACAGTTAACAACAACAATTAAGAAACATTAATTTTAGTAAATATTTCATTTTCCTTAAAAAGGAAATTTAAATGCAGTTCTATAAATTATGCCTTTGCATGCCTTAGAGCCATGGCCTTTGTAATTCATAGACCCAAAATTCATGTAGAAAGAAAATGGCGATTTAGTTATAATCCAGTCAAGAGCAATCAAAATATCAAGCTATGAAGCGTAAATGAGTCAAGAGATACTAATTCTAGATACTACGCATTGTTCAAAAAGATTGAATAAAGTTCAGAGATAATTTTATTAAGAAATAAATAAATAAATAAAACTAATAAGCTACAAATTAAATAAATAAAAAAATTAATTTTTCAAATGATAAAAATAAAAAACTATAAAACGTAAATAAATAAAAAAAACAATGTGAACGAAATTAAAAAATAAAATAAATAAATATACATAACAATAAAATAAATAAAAATAATATGATCAAATTTTGCGATTTTTGATTAATTCTATATTGCAAATATTAAAATAAATAAAAATAAGAAAAAATAAAACTAATTAAAAATATTATAAAATTACGAAAATAACACAAAAAAATAAACAAAATTGAACAAATTAAAAAAATAAATAAATATAAAATAGGTGATCATAAAGATTTAAAAAATTGATTAAATGAAATGCTCCCAAGTATTATATATAGTCTACGACGTCATAAAGATCCAATGTATGTACGAAATCTAATAAAAAAGAGTCTTAGCGCTGCAGCTACTCCATTTCTTCAAATCAAATATGTTTACTTTTTCGAATTCAATTAATTTAGATGGAATTGAAATAAACCCAAGTTAAATTCCACACGATTGAGATATTTTATTAAATCTAGTACATGTACCACTAGTTTTGAACTTTTAAGGCCCAAGTCCAAACGGGAATAGGCTTATACCAATAATTCATTAACGAATGCGAACAGAACAGAACAGCGGTTACCCAAACAATCCTTTGAATCATTTCATTGCACTTAGCCGGAGCTGAACCTATCTGATGATTGTGAGCTGCCCAAACAACGGCTCAATGATGATGATTGGTGAAAGATATGGTGGCAGCATATCATGCAACTCCATACGTTGCATTCTCACTTATCAGCGATGCCATTCCCATTCCCATTCCCAATCCTATCCAACTGCGTCTCAATTATCACAACTCTGTGCACGATCAAATGGCAGGCAGGCGGGCAGGGACCTGCTACAGGGAACAGGAGGGATGAGGAGGCGGCACAGGCAAATGTCGCGTTATTAGCGAGCAACATAAACCATATTTTTCCACAAATGTTCAAATATTTATAAATTCGAGTAGATGTGTGCGCGCCACTACCCCCCCTCGCGGCCACAACCCTAATGATACGAGCATATACTCGTACATACTACCTTTTTTTCTACTGCTGTTCGTAATTTGAAGAGTGCGCTTGCAACTTGACTGTGGCACTCACTTAATAGTGCAACAACAAGAACAACAACAACAACAGGAGCGTAACCACGTCTATTTCATAATTTGCTTGTTGCTCTGGTCCCGCACCCCCTCCCCCCCTTCTCAATTCCGTGCTGACAAATTTGTCGTGTATACATTTTATTGCAAATTTGATGCTCGTCCTTGTTGATAATGCACAAGAGCCAAAGGCAGCGGCATGCGGATAATGGTGGTGGTAATGAGGACGGTGATGACGATGATGAGGATGATGATGGTGCTGGTGCTGGTGATGGTATGGGCGTGAGCGACATTGCTTTGCACATCTGCTTTGAAAATTCATAAAAACGACACACGCACGCACACAAATGTTTGCTTAAGAGCAGCACTTTTCATTGCATATCAACAGGCGCACCACGCACAAACGCATTAGCACTCACTTGTTTGTTCTCCCTCTCCCATCTCCCCTCTCCCCCCTTCTCACGAATTTTACATCTTTCCCCAAAGTAACTTTTTATTTCCGAACGCTTGATGGATAATTAGAATAGTCATCCAATATTGTGTTCAGGTGCTGAATATATCAACTGAAACCTATTTGAAAATCAATAAAAGTTTCTTTAAAGAATGAAACCCAACAGCAATTTTCTGGAATTTTCCATTTACCCCCTATTTAAATATTTCAAATTTCAATATTTTTGAACTTAAACTTAAACTGTACCGAAAAGCAACTGTTTTTAAACTTTCTTTAAAATCAAATTTGTTGCCATTTTTGTAATAATATAATTTCTAATTTATTTCAAATGTACAACAATTCTCTTACTTTTTAACAAATTTGTTGCTTAATGGTCTTCAGAATGTACGGCACACATTGTTTTGCAGCTCTCCCTCAGTCAGTTATTTACAAATTCTTTTATATTCTTAGCTATTTGTCCTTTGTTTTTTAGTCCAATATCTCTTTTCTCCTCTTAAACAACATACATGGTTGACATTTTTTCGCTGACAACAAAGCTAGTCTGGGTCGCTTAATTGGTGAGCATATTGTGCTTCATAGAAAATGTGGGAAAAATGGGGTTTTCTATCTTGTGGATTTATGCATTTCAAGTGCCGTTTTGCCAGATAAAAACATTCTTGAAAATTAAAATTGCTTCGATGGATCGTTTGCATAGAACTGTGGGTCCTGTAGTGTATCCGTTTTCACACACGTTTTCCCGTCCATTTTATTCAACTAAATAAGCTACTGCATAGCCTTCAAATTACTATTTTCTCAACTGCGGTTTTTCAGTTTGGTTGATACCTTTTGTTTTAGTATGATTTTATATGATATCTTTAATTTCAACTTTCAATTATAGAGAGACTGGTTTTAAATTTTCAGCCCTAATGTTGTGCAGACTTTATCTTATCAACACCTTTTATTCGACTTGAAGGAGTTTAGAGTAACTGATTTGGCAAATCCCTAATAGAATACAAATCTTTATGCTTAGTAATAATTTTGTAAGCTATTTATGCAGATGTTAAAGCGTTTCACTAATTTGAAATTTAAAATGAAATTAAATCTGTATAATGGTGCACAGATTAAATTAAATTAGACAATATACGTATATGTCCCTTCTTACGCCCCTTTGTGCGACAATACAATCTTTTTATTTAAACTGAATTACAAAAATGAGCAATAATCGGCAGCGGAGAATTTTTTAAAATTTTTTTTTGCAATAGGTTGTCTCTTGATTGCTAAATTTCTTCAAATTTGACGGAATGTTTCGTTTTGAAACATTTGAAATGTAAGAACTACTTCCAGCTAGCAGTCAGCAAAAAAAAAAGATCATATTTAATCAATTTTGATATTCTAACACATGCTGGATTCCATTTTGCTCACTGATTGATTAAAAACTTTTAACGTCATGCCTATGTCTGATTCAAGCTTATCACTAGAGACGCCAAACACTTGCTAGCTGCTCTGTTAGCTTCGATTCGATTTGAGAGCATTGCGGTTTGCTTAAAAGAATGAGAGCATGAGAGTTAACAAAAGAGTTAGACAGCTCTGGATTGATAGGCCGATCTATGTGAGCTATAAAATGTGAGAGGTTAACAGCCAGCTCCAATGGCACTCCGTATGGGAAAGCTGCGCCGAAAAGTAGGCAATGGAAACTGTTTATGTCTGGCCACTTACGAGTATCACAAAAAATGAGCAACTACGGTACGCTGGTTGTGCTTAGTTTCGATATTGCTGGCATAAACAGATTGCATTTGCAAAAATACTGACATAAACAACAACAACAGCAACAGCAACAACAAGAACAAGAGCAACAGCCGCAGCAGTATTGGCATTAAATTACTAAATAAACATTGGCTGGCGTTGTCGCCGTGGTATCGTTTAGTTTATAAACAATGCTGTGATATGACACAAAGCCTGCCTTGGGGAGCCTAATATTAATAATAATAATAAAATCGTATGTGCGTGTGTTGCGTTTTTGAATTTGCGGCGCGCCCAGCCCCCAAGCCCGCCGCAGCCCCCGCCGCGACCAAACCAATTAGTGCAGCATCAAAGTGACCAAAGCAGCACTTTCTAGGTCAACGCACCGAAGCGAAGGTATTTATGAAACAAAGGCAGCAACCACAGCAACAACAACCACAGACGAAGTGAATTGAAAAAGCCAAAAAGCAAAAGGAACAAAAAATTTATATAAAAAAATAAATACAAAAAATGATAGGCAGCATTTGTGCTGTGTGCTGTGTTGTGCTGTGCTGTGCTGTGCTGTGTTGTGTTGTGTGATGAGCGTTCAGCGACAAAATTTGATTAAATGCTGAAAGTAAATTAAATTTGAATACGTTTAATTTTCATATTTCCGACGCAGCAGCAACAGCGACAGCGACAACGACGCGAGTATCTTTGTATCTATCGCTATGCGAAGTTATAATTTGCATTCATCGAATTATCTAATGTTGCACGACTCTGTGCGTGTGTGTGTGTGGTTGTATTTATGTGTGTGGTGCAGTCTGTTAAAGCTGAATGTGTGGCTTTAAGAGTGGCGCGCGTGTAGGCGTTAAAAATGCTAGCAAAGTTTTTATTATTGCTGCTCTTTCTTTTCCAAATACATATGTATAAATAAATGTGTATGTTTGTGTGTGTGTGTGTGTGCCATCAAATGGATCCTTAATTGAGTTACTATACGCGCACACAGTACACAGTACACACACACACACACACACAAATACAGTTCAGTCAGTCAGTCAGTTTGGAAATTGAACGACAGACATTCGAGCATTTTCAACCCTCAGACAACAGCAAGCCAGCCAGCAGACCAAAGTCAGCTCATGGTTAAGAGCATTTTTTAGCAGCACTACACCAACATACACACACATACACACACACACACACACACACACACACACACACACACACACACACCAACACACAGACAAATGGCAACCAACCAAATGAAACCAAGCGAACGACCCAAAAAGTGGGCGCACACAAACAAACCCACCCCCCACCCAGTCAGTGAAGACGCAGAAGCCAGTATTTTCCATTTAAGCACCCACACACATCCACATCCACACCCACACCCACATACTCAGCCACGCACACACACACACACACACATAGCCATAGACAAAGATAATAATAATGATAAAATAAATACAAGTCGCTGAGGAAAGCACCAGCAGCAGCAGGAGAAGAAAGAAATGAGCAAAAAATAAAATAAAGCAGCAGGCAGAGAAAACAAAGTAAAATGACAGGCAGGCAGTCCAAGAACTACCCACAAGCTGCCGCTGTTGCTGCCTCAAGTTGTCTGCGCCGCCATTACAACTGCCTGCCCCGTCCCCCCGTACATTTCTTTTGCGCCTTAAGTAACTCAAAGCAAGCTCATGGCAGCTTTCAAAATGTCGGAAATTTTTACACACACACACACACACACAACGCTCGTCACTCCCCCCACACGCCTGTGCGCCTGCCTGTCCTTGCCATCCAGCACAGCACAGCACACAACACCACTCTACCACCCCACCACCCCACACCACCCATTGCTTGTTGTCTATGCCAGACGCGAGCTCGAGCGTGCGGGCCTTGTGCGGCTTTCATCTTGGCAATTTCTTTTTCGCCCGCCAACCCCGTCGCAATCGTGAGGACCATCTTTAATAACGTCTAAGCAGCAACCCATCGCCATCTTGCCATCTCGCCCTGCCCCCCACCTGCTCCGCCAATGCCTCCATTCCTGAGAACTCTCAAGAAGGTTGCTGCATCAAACAGCGCCGACGTCTTCTCCTCAACATCATCGCCGTCGTCAACTTATTTTCAATTTCAATTTTGTAGATTTTTTCACTCATAAGACGCACACACCCAGACCCAGACCCAGACTCAGACCGAGAAGCAGAACCAAACCCCAAACCCCAAACCCCAACACGGACCCGTCGCCCAACCTGAAGCTACAGCTACAGCTCCAGTCCAGAACTGGCTGCTGCCTTATTTTTATCTTATTTTGCTTCTTCTGCTTGCCATTTCATTTTTGCCCGCTTGTTTTTTCCTTCGCCTTCGCCTGCGCCTTCGCCTTTGCCCACCGTCGTCATCCGTTTCTGCTGCCTCCGCCACTTCCTTGCAAAGGCCAGGCCAGGCCAGGCCAACTCGCAAAGTATTTTCAAAGTGAAATTGCCATTGCGCTTCTCCATACTGCCTGTGTCGGAAGGCAAGTGGCGGAGGAGATGGGGTGGACTTGGGCTTGGATGGGGGGGGGGGGGGGGGGAGTATGGCTTTCTGCTCCTTAAAGTGCTGACAAATTTAATGTCTAATTGTTTCGCTTATACTATGTCATATGTATCTATATACGCATTATTTTGTTGCAGGTCTGGTTTCAAAATCGTCGCGCCAAGTATCGCAAGCAGGAGAAGCAATTGCAAAAGGCATTGGCACCATCTGTGATCCCATCGTGCAACGGCATGATGCGGAACATACAAGGCTATAGCGTTTCCCGTGGCTATCAACCGTATCCACATCACAATACCATGAACCGTTATCCACAGGTAGGTGCCAACACACACACACAAACACACACAAGCACACATCTTACTAAACACACACACACACTTTCTTTGCTCCCCTTTTTCAGGATCTCTTTCAAATGGGCGCCAGCTCCTACCCGGGCATGACTCAACCATTCTCAATGGCGCATGGCACGAACATGGGCTCAGTTGGTGTGCGTCAGGACTCAATGGGTGAGTAGTAGTTGCGAGGATAACCCTCGATTCATAAGTGCTAATAGCTAAGATACACAGGACACGTATTAATTACTTACATACATCGGCTATTTATTTTTCATTTCTCCCTTGATCGAGAAAGCTGTTTTGTTTGCCTTGCTGCAGCTAGAGAGCCAAATAATTTGCACACAAATTCCATTCGATTCCATTCCATCGCATGTGTAATGATAATTCACCCGTTCGACCACGCACTTAAACATGAAATTTTTATACAAAAATAAATCATGCTTTATTATTGAAGAAATAATTCTAATTCATGTAAGTTGTGTTGTCGAACGTCAATGTGTGTACAAATTATTTGGCTGTCTGACCATAGCCTTGGCTAGAATTGAGCAGCGGATCCTGCAAGCTCCGATGGATTACACATTCCTCACTTCATTTCCACACACATACTCGTAATTATAGAGCTCGTCGGGAGCCGTTGCTCAACTCTAAAGGGGAATCTTCACTTATGCCAATCCTTTATTTAAATCACACTATATCTGGCCTTCACCCAATAGGCTGTTAGTCTTTCAGTTCACATTGTTTCGTAGAATTTTTTTTATTTAGAGTACACTTCACAAATTAAGTCGCACTGTTGCTGACGGCTCAACTTTTTGCCAGCAATGCTCCCCAACTAATGAAAGTGCATCGCACAATCGAGTCCAGGCTTTGCTTGACAGCGATCAGGCATTGAGCTTTTGCGGAGAGCGCTTCCGAAGAACAATTGCCGACGCTCTTCAATTCTACAGCTTTTTGCAAAGCAACTTTAAGAGTCACCCAGAAGCTCTTGAAGAAACTCTCGCAAAGATAGGGCAGCAAGAGGGGCTTTTGAAAGCCTCGTTAATTAATTCAAGTTTCTGTCAAATGTTATTATTATATGTAGAAAGTTTTCGATTTGTGAAAGCTTAGCTGTTTAGCTAAAGACTTAAGTCAGTCGATGCAACAAAGTTTGAGGAAAATTCTATATAAAAATATATTCATTCTTCGTCTTCTTCTGGACTTCTTACACCCTATTTTTCCAACAGCAAGATCTTTTCTAAAACTTGAATGCCTGACTTTGTCTTACTATAGGAACTGTCTAAGCATCTTAAGTTTGGCAAATACACCTACCTTTATGCTGCTTAGAGAACATATTTCCTATTTGATTATTATAAGACTAAGCTCATTCAAAGATATGGCAGATATAGTTGTTTGGACTGATCAAGCACTCCAAGCCTATGCCAACATTATCTCAGAAGTTGTTATTTTGTACTCACAATGAACCCCAGCTAAGCCAGAAATCTCAGCAATCGTTTTCAGAATCTAGAGCGCTATATTGAAAGCCATCGCCAACATCTGAGCAAAAGTCTGAGTCTGGCAAGGAACAAAAGCCTGCGCTTGACCCGATATTCCGAAAGTTAACATTTGGATAAGAAAATCGTAATAAAATGTAGCAATAGTCGAAGTTTAAAGCCTATGCCCGGTCAGAAGTTTAAGAAGTTTGAAAATGACAGAAAATTTGTTCAGAATTCGAACCTGAGTCCCTTTTTTAAGCTAAAAAACTGAAGCCATCTCCAAGGGCTGAACAGGGGACTGGGCATTGCTAAAACCTATTTAACATAGTCTATATAGCATAGTCTGATCCGAAACCAAAAAAGCTTCTGCCAGAGAATTGCATTGAGTCTTGGCGAACTCCGAAGGCTGCGTAGAGAATTGAGCTTGGCTGGATATTTTCGATGCTGTGGCCAAACATTGAACTGAACAAGAGTCAGACAATGAATATTAATTTCTAACGCAATTGTTAAAACATAAAAAACAGTCTTGACTCACCCAGAAATCCCAGCAGTCGTAAACAAACTCTGACCAAAAAGCTAAGAAGGTGAAGGTGTCTGAAATATAAAAAGCTAAAGCGATAAAAAAAAGAGGCTACACTTGAAAAATTTTGGCTCATGGATTATTAATATTAGCTAGTGCCGCAATGGACTGAGCAAAGAATTAAGGCTGATACGCCACCAAAACCTTAAAAGCTAAGGGGGAAGGAAGTTTCTTAGGAAGTTTTGACCGAAATCTCCAAAGAAGCTGTCCATACTTGATTAGAGTCAAAGCTCCAAACACCGCCTAAGCTCAGTAAGAATTCTCAGAAGTTGTTAAAAACAAAACCTAAAGATATTATTCAGAGTATCGCTTTAAAACTCAAAAGCTGTCGCCAAACAGTAATCTAAGAAGTTGTTGTCTGTAAACGGCAAAAAGAGCTAAGCTCGGCTTCCGCCCGAAATATCAGAAGCCTGTCATTAGAGCCGCGACTAATCGCCAAGGTTAGCGAGAAGGTGACATGAAACATTCGTCCTCGAAGTCTTTCCAATAGCAACAGCAGTCTATAAACTATAAACAGCAGTGAATTGTTTCTTTTCACACTCGTGTTCAATGAAAAGAGATCATGACTTGTTTACGGCTCTCATATTCATGTTCAATTATTTATTAATTGGATTAGTCAGCCCCGGTGTGGTCGTGCCATTATTTACAGCAGACGCTGATATTCGATTCTATTGCTTATGTTTACACTGCGAGTGCCTGTTTAGCTGTTTGGATGTTGGCTGTTTGGCTGTTGGCTGTTTGGCTGGGCATGGCCATTGGGTCGCTATTGAATTACCACCTAGCGGGAATGGGTGCGAATGCGCCGTAACGGCTCCGATTCTTTGAGTTGCGAAAACAATGAGCACGACTGTTGTAAACATGGCCCATGGCTCAAGCTTCCTAGCCCAGTCGATGCCCAGTCCAGTTGGTGCAGGGGGGTGTCTGTCTGTGTGTGAGGATGCCAAGGATGTGCATAATCATAATCAGGCGCGTCTTGCCGGATATTATCAAAAATGTAGCAGCCTTCTAGGGGCAGCAACAGCAACAGCAACAGGAACAGCAACGTGCTGCGCCAGAAAATTCAGCAGGTGAAATGAATTTCCGCTTCGGCACAAATGTCTTTAAGACGTAAGAAAATATTCTTAATCAACAGTGGCAGGTGCCGGCTGAAGTGGACCTGCGATTGTGTGTGGCGGAAGTGGGGCCAGATATGTGTATGGGTGTGGGTGTGGGTGTGTGTGTGTATAAGTGTGTGTACACACGTATATGAAAATTTCCGCAGCACGGAAATCAAATCTAGAAAATATTATACAACAGTTCCAACTATCCAATGAAATGTGTGTTTTCTCCTTCATTCTATTTCATGCTCTCTCCTCTCTCTCTCTCTCTCTCTCCCACTCTCTTTGCAGGCATGTCGCCGGAGGACGAATGGTATAACAAAAGCCTATCCGCATTGCGCATGAATAGCTCGCATCATCCAAACTTATCAGCGCCAATGCTGCAATACCAAACATAATCAAAAACCTTTGACGACTTCTTTTAAAAATTCAAATATCAGCCAAGGGGGCATATTCTCCATTATTCTGATATTCGAAGTTTTAAGAGCGAGTGCGTCAAAATGGTGCGACCTGTGTCTGTGTCTGTAACTGTGTCTATCTGTGTGTGTGTGCGTGTCTGCCTCTGTGCGTGAATGTGGAGTGCGTTTGTGTGCGAGTGTATGGGTAAGACGTCCTTCTCTCGGTCTGTCGTGGCCTTTACGCCACTAATTGTTTAATTTGTTTAAACAAAAACAAAAGCCAAGCCAAAGAAAAATGCACGCGATTTTTGCGCAATACAAATACCTAAATCTATGATTCACTTGTATATATACACGTATATACACATATGCACATATACATATGTACAAATGTGGCGTAGACAGGCACATAAATACTAGTATATATATATACTTACAAAATATACACAAACACACACTCATTGTAAATGAAAAGGAAAATAACGTAAGTCTTCAAAAAATCCCTCCCACAGCAAATTTGCCTGCCTACGTCACCAAGTATATATAGTATACAATACATCCAATAGATGCAGCCTAGGCTAGTGATGAGAAGGCAACAACAAGAATAAAGAATAAATAATGTAGAAAGCAGTTCATGTTCTGGGCGAGCAAATAGGTATGTCGGTTTAACTGATGGCACTTTTCAAGCTATTGGAGCTGGACTCCTATCTTTATCTGTCATATGCCAATTAAGGAGCTTCCCAAACTATAGTATGGCAATTGATTTAAGGAAATGAGAAGGGCACTCATGCAATTGTTGCATAACTTTTAGGGAGTTCTTGAATATGCTTACATTTCCACAATAAATGAAAGGCACAGAAAAGTACGAAAGCTTAAGCTTTCTTCTGCAGGAATTTTCACATTTCTTCAACAAACATTCCATTCACTGCCTCCATTAGTCAATTTTGATCGCATTTATGCGTTGCTTCAAATTCTTGTGATAAAATTATAAAAATACCTATCGTTTTGTCCGCGACTGTAAAATTTCAAGCCAAACAACTAACCGCCATTAACAAGAACTCTTCACAGCAATCATTTAAGCAATGGCGTGACAAACATTTTTTATAGACAGCAGTCCATGTAGTGGCGAAAACACTTTCTGAACTTTGAACTTGAACTCGAATGGTCAAGACTGCAATCGAAAGTTATTGAAAGACACTCTCAAAGTTTATAGACAGATTTCAAATCAGTTTATTTAGTTTTTTTTTATCCTGAGCAGATTGTAAGCATGGAAAATAAAATGAATATTTCCTTCCAATAAACAGACTTATTTCTTTAGACACAAAATTGATTTCGGAAATTTTATATGTTCGACTCACGGCGCTTCTATCAGGATTTAAAATATTACAAAAATATTATTATAAAGAGTCAAACTTTCAAACTGCAAGCCGACTCCGCTGTATAATACTTAATAATAAGAGAGTTTTTACATTGCCTTTAAAGTTTAAACCACAAGCACTACTTAACATTTTTTGTGGCTTTTTTAGAGACTTACTTACCAGACTATACAGCATCTTGATGATGATGATATGCAGCTTGAGAATGGATATAGAAACAATCTTTTTACTTGAGGTCTTACTCTTTTCATAGAATTTGATTTCTCCTTAAAAATTCAAAATGGAATGCTTCATCTAACTATGGGAAATATTTTTTAAAGACTAATTAACCAGACCAGCTTGACAAATTTCCTTCGCACTCGAAATGGATGTAGAAACAATCTTCTTACTATAGGTTTATGAGAACTGATTTTTAGAGCCCGATGCGAGAATGCTTATACAAACGGTCTAGTTTTATGTGTTTGTTCTTTAAGTACAGATGGCTCTAATATTTGTAGGCAGTCTTTCTCTGCGCTTCTCAAAGCAATATTTCGGCTCGATATTAATTTTTGGTCTTAAGCCCTACTTGGGCTCAGAGTATATAGCGCTTGAGCGAATCAGCAGTAACTTAAGCCATCACTAAGCCTCTTAAGATGCGATTTGTATTCCAAAGATTGCGTGCAAAAAACTATTCGGACTTGGTATTGTTTCTAAACTATGGATGGGTCGTCTGGTGTGCTTATGTGTAAGACTTGTTGATACTCTTCTGCATGGGTTTTTTTTATTTAGTTTAGTTTTATTCACACATACGAGTATATATATATATATACAATATATATTTTTTTTTAGATATTAAAAGAAGTGTTTTTTATTACGAATAGGCTCGGAGGTAAATAAATGCAAATTGAATATAAATAACGAAAATATTTATATAGCAACTAGTCATAGCGAGTAAGTAAACTATAAATTGAGATTTTAGCGTGACACAGTAAAATGTATTGTATGATATATAAATGCTATATATATATATATAAAGATATGTGCATACATATATGTATATGTATGCAACGGCCTACCATAGCGACATAATTGTAAGACGGAAGGAGGATAGGAAGCAGGTATTATGCAAACGCATCCAAAACTCACTTTTTGGTTCGCTTGCCATTTAGCCACGTAACGCAACTAACTTTTGAGTTGCCCGATCGGACTTCAAATGCCTACCAACTCTAGCAATACGCATAAATAAAATACATAGTACTTATATACAACGTACATAATGCATTCGTTCATTTCTCGCATGAAACACTCAAACAACAAACAACAAACAAACCAACATACATACATACATAGCTAAATAACCAACTGGAACTGCAAATGCAACATCAACAGCGACAACAACAACAACAGCAATTAATGCTACTAAAAGCTACCTACACAGGGCTATCGAACTCCTCTACTATATTTAAACTTCTGTAAACTAAATGTAAGATGATTTTTTTTAGCTACACAATGCATTAACGAGTTACACTTTAGTAATTAATTATAATATAATTAGACTCGAAAGAGAAATGTCGACAAAAACTAAAAACAAAAAACAAAAAACGAAAAAACAAAAAACTATACAAAACCAAACAAAGCCCCAAACCCCTCTACAAATAAATAAACTATATATGTATATTAAAATGGAAAAACAAAAAACCAAAACATGTTTCAAATTATGCGCAAACCACAACAACAACAACCACAACAACCAAACAAAACTAAATAAATGGACAAGATATATAAGAAAGAAAACTGCGAACCTCCTCAACATTATTATTACTTTCAAGCCCAAGTCTCAAATGCGCACTAACTCTAGAAAATCTCAGAAAATCAACAGAGAGGTAAGTCAGTAATACTGTACTATTATTGAAGAGGGTAGCAAGTAGGGAAAGAAGATTGGGAAGATTGGGAATCCACATTAAATTTCGCTACTTTTCCAACTAATGACATCGGAATCGTCGGAAACTTTGATGCTCCACACCGAAAGGTAAGCAAGCCATACTGCTAATTATTAGTATTATCTGCGCTAGAGCGAGTGGGGAAATGATATTTTCTGAAGATTGAAAATATGTAGATATTGTTAAGATTTTGAAATTTTGCAACTTATTCAACTGAATAAAACGTAATCGGAAGACTCTGGAAAGGTAAGCAAGCCATGCTGCTAATTATTAGTATTATTGAATAGGGTTCTGTGCTAGAGCGAGTGGGGAAAAGATTCCATTTTAAATCATCGCAACAGACACCTTTTCTGAAGATTGAAAATAGATATTTCTAAGATATTTAAATTTTGCAACTTTTTCAACTGAATAAAACGGAATCACCAAAAGGTAAGCAAGCAATACTGCTAATTAATAGTATATTTGAATAGCGAGTGAAAAAACAATTTGATTTGAACATCAAGAATTGATATTTATTAGATTTTCAAATTGAGCAAAAGTCTCAACTGATTCTAAAAGTTAAATTATGATTATTGTATTATTAATGAAAGCAGAAAAAGTCTTCAGAAATATGTCGCATATTGTTCTTCCAAATTGTAGAAAATGTTTGGAGCCAAAAAAAATTTACCCAGCTTTGGGCTATCCAGAAGTCATATTATCAAAAGGAAGTAACTCAAATTAATTGCACCTAAAATATAACCTTGTTATGTTATGGAAAGAAGTCGGGAAATAAACCTCTTTGAGTTCGATTCGCAAAGATCGCTCTTTGAATAAACAAAAACAAAGCCAGCTCTATGCTGGGCCTTCTCTCTCTCTCTCTCTCTCTCTCTTTATATCTGTCTTTATCTAAGCAACGATTTATAAAACGATATATCTATTTGTTGTTTTAATGTAAACTTTTTTAATAACTAATCATAATAGTTGGGGGAATTTTTTGAACTCACCAGCCCCGAAATATAGATAAGTTATTAGACCTACAAGCAATTAGCTTAAAGAAAAAATTATAAAAAAAATAAAAGTTCATAATGATCAACAAAACAACCAAATTTTGAACTAAAAGCAAAAAATAGTAGAAATATAAATACACAAGAAATATAGAAGTAACAAAAATATTTCAAATAGCAAATCAGTTGTAGTTTCCAAGAAGTGTGCTTTGACATACGATTCGTTTATGTCTAGACAAGTTTAGCTTTCAATTGTTTAGTTGAACAAAAAAAATTGGTGCGTTCTGTAGAAAGTTTTTTATAAATACGGGCTAACAGTTTTAAGCAACATGGCCAGAAAAGTTTGTGCAGTTCAAGTTCTGCAAACACTTTTGAGTGCTTGCGAGCCGATTTCGCGCGGCCAACTGATGTCGATGTTCACAGCGGATCCTGTGGATGCAAGCGTAAGGAAGGAGTTGGACACAATTCTGTCAACTTGCAAGGAATTGGGGATGGTGGTGGAAGTTGACGACTGCTTCTACAACTCCAAGGTGGCACAACTAATTATTGAGCAGTCGAGCTCAGAGGACGGCAGCTCAATCCACAATAAAGGAGATACCGACTAATGGTTGGGGCGTGTCGCTTCTATGTGTTAATTCTGAAAACACTTCCACTGTCCTTTCATTTCAGATCCGTGACATGGCTTCGCTCGTTTGACCAAAAAGCTTCATCAAATTGTTATTCAAATTTAATAAAATCGTAAGATACTGACAAGGTTTGAGTCTCCTTGTGGATAATGGGGAATGGTTATGCATAACCATGGGGAATAGAAAGAAGTTCCCTTACAAGTATATACAATATTCATGGGCAGCCAAGTTGGTTCTTACAGATCTCCGGGTATTGGAGATTATTTTGAAGAGCATTTTTTTGACCTGTCAACATCCTGCTTTATAAGTTTTTCAATCTCTTATAGTATGAGTGTCCATGACTTATGTGTGTCAGTAACTTATACCAATTAAAAAGCGTTAACAATGCTTTAACCAAAGGATATTTTCTAAGTAATTCTAGAAATCAGTTTTAGTTATCTTAGGAAAAGGCGTTTAATAAATCTCTTTCAACTGCAATTCCAATAAGTTCCAATTCCAAAAGGTTTCCAACCAGTAGCGTAACATTTTCTGTCTCTGTTTCGAGGTACGAGTATATTGAACTATTGATCCGGAAATGCTTTTAATGCTTAGACTGTACCTTTTTTGAAATATTTTTTCATTATTATGATAGTCCCATTTAATTTCTTGTTAATGAAAAATACGAATGAAATATTATTTTTTTGGTTGGCCCAAATTCTGCGAAATCGGAGCTTTTGGTTGGGGTTCTCACTCAACCCGAGCTAAAAAAACTGTAGAGATTTGTCAGAAAGCTCTGTACATCCAACATCTGCGCTTACTGAGATTTTCGCCTAGCCTAACAAATACACCTAACTCTGTTTTTACACGGTCTTTTTTACACGATTTTGATATAAGACGGTTTAAAAATTCGAAATTGCAAATACATATATTTCTTTAGAGATAAAGAACCAAACACCTATTTTTGCATATGATCAATGTCTTTTTTTCCACGGTTGTTTTTGGAACCAGTCCACTGTGTAAAAACAGAATTAGGTTATCTTTTCTTCTTGCTTTGATGCGTCCTCATTACACTACAAGTAGTATGTATATACATAAATTTAAAGGAAGTGATTTATCTAGCCCATTAATGATGCCAAGAAGACTCTTAGAGATGGCAAGCCATATCCAAATTTTAATTTTGAATTGCCCATCATCTTGTTTCTAAGGAAGTGGGGATAGAAGAACAAGCTGACTTGTTGTATAGTATTTTTATTTCAGGTGTTATTATTATTCCATTTTAATTTTGAATTGTCCATCATCTTGTTTCTAAGGAAGTGGGGATAGAAGAACAAGCTGACTTAACCTTAATTCGATCTCTCCCCTTTGTTTATTATGATTTTACGGCTCGCCTTTCTTCAGTCTCTCTCTCTCTCTCTGATAAGAAAGAATTGTTGTTGTATAGTATTTTTATTTCAGGTGTTATTATTATTCCATATTCATTGCGCTGGATTGATGGCAAACATACACAATTACATCAATTTATTGAACAACTACAAAATACAAAGGAACAACTGACCGAAAAGCAACAATCTCGCTGCGATTACGAACTTAACGCGTGTGTCGTTCTTTTGGGGGAATACGGGGGGGAAACAGACGCTCGCTCGACAACACCACGATCTTGAAGCCAAACGACACTATCTTTACGACGTCGACTGCGACTGCGGCTGACGCTGGCGGTGCTGGCGATGTTTGCGATCTGAGCGATGTGTGGTTTGCTGGGGTTGGGGTTGTTGTGGAGGTGGTTGTGGTTGTGGTAGTGGTGGCTGGGGCCCATCATCCTGAGACGGAGTCATCCACTCGAGCGGCAGGCAGCGATGTAAGAACGGCACACAGGTAACAAAGTATGCCAATCTGTTGATCCAGGGTGGTATTTCCTGGCCGCACAGCACGCGGGTGAACGTATTGGAGAAGTGATTGCAGTTGTTGTTCGTCAGATGGTAGCAGTCGCCATGGAACTGATGTCCCAGATCGTCGACAATGCGATGCACCTCCTCACAACTCAGCTCCGTATAGCCGATGCTAATGCTCTCGCGATATTGAAACTGTTCGCCCAACTCGTTGCGATTGTTTCGGGGCGCTATTTCGAATATGCCTGTGACTGGATAGCGATGGCCGCCATAGGCGAACTCGGTGTCATAGACCTGCACACCCGAATGGAACACGCCCAGGCCTAGGGGCGTTGTGTAGTCATTGATGCTGAACATGTCATAGACGTTTAATACAACCGGCTCCTTGCCGACCACATTCAAGGGCAACAGCTCATCGCGACAGCTCTCCTTGGATGTTGTGAAGCAGCTCAGTATGGGAAGACGGTGGCAGAACATGTTTCTATTCGCTTCTCCTTCTTCTTCCTTTTGTTGGTATTTGGAATGTGGAATCAGCAGCAATGACCATGGGCTAATGGGTTGGAGATGGGGAATTACAGAGCTGAACATCGCACCCGTGGAGCACGACTTACCCTCCAGTTCCCCTTTAGTCTGTTATTAGTGTACTTGTGGCTGTTGCACAATTTTGACTTAAAATTTTATTCGGTTTTCTATTTGTACTCGTCTGACTGACTTCCTGACACAATGAACGATTGACATTTCATGGCAAAGACCACTGGGGTGGATGCCTATATCAATATGCCTAAGACAATCCACGACCGTTCCAGCCCTATACTCGTATTCTATCTCATTCTATCGTCTTTCTGTGGACATGACGGTCGCAATCGACAGCCGTTCCCCCCACATGCACTCACTCAAGCGCTTTCCAAGCAACTGAAAGCTCTAAGCGCTGTCCCTCAAAAGAGCTCGTTCTACGCGACGATCCGATTTAATGCTCTTTCGCTGACCAGCGAGCGGACAGTGCCTGCAAACTGTATGCTCTCTTGGTCATTAAAAGTATTAGCAACAAAAAGCTACCGCCTCAATCAAAATCTCTTAAGCGTGAGATCAACTCTACGCGAAGGTAAGTGATCGAACGAGATCTGACTATATAGCTGGCTAAAGGATTTATCTGAGCTTTAAGCAATTCTTGATTTAGCAAGCACTAGACTATCCCTTCCAAGCTCTAAAAAGTAAGACCAACTCTATAGCTAGATGAAAGATCAAACGAGATCTAACTGGGTACGCAAATGTAGGATGGACATATCTAATCTTCGGATATAGCTTTAATCAATTCTTGATTTAGCAAGCAATATACTGTCCCTCCGAATCTCTTAAACGTGAGATCAACTCTATATCTAGATGGAAGATCAAACAAGATCTAACTGTGTACGCAAATTGTAGGATGGATTTTTGATTTAGCAAACACTAGACTATGCTTTCGCATCTCTTAACCGTGAGATCAACTCTATACCTAGATAAAAGATCCAAATTGTAGGATGAAGGACATATCTTATCTTCAAATATAGCTTTAATCAATTCTTGATTTAGTAACCCCTAAATTATCCCTTCAGGTCTCTAAAGCTTGACATCAACTCTATAGCTAGATGAAAGACCAAACGAGATCTAACTGTGTACGCAAATGTAGGATGGACATATCTTATCTTCGAATAAAGCTTCAATCAATTCTCAATATAGCAAGCACTAGACTATGCCTTCGAAACTCTAAAACGTGAGATCAACTCTATACCTGGATAAAAGATCTAACAAGATCTAACTATATAGCTGGCTAAAAGATTTATCTGAGATTTAATCAATTCTTGATTAAAGTACGGGGCTCAAAGAGGAAGTCAGATCATTGTAGTGTGTGCTTTCATTAACGTAGTTAATATATATATTTTTTATTCCGAACGGAATCGTGCTATATGTGACTTCTTTATGTACAATTTCAACACTATATGGTATTGTTTCTCAGTGTCTTTAGTTGCGCTTCACCATGCCTAGAGCGACGATCTCCTCGTCGGTGAGAACACCGCCCCGCAACGTATAGATGAGCTCTTTGGGCTTTTCCATGAGTATCCGTATACGCTCCTCGGATATTTTGCGATCGTTTTCGGCTGCCATGGCGATTATGGTACGTTCCAACTGTTTCTCCTCCTTATAGGTGGCGGCGCGGCGTTTCTCACTCTCCTCGACTATGGCTGTCACTTGGGCACAGGCATCCTTTTTGATTTGGTGCAGGAGCTTCTCGCGCGCATCTTGCATTTGATATTGACGCTCAAAGAAGCAGGTGCTGTCGTGGGGGATCATCAGGTCAAGCGCTTTCTCCCTCTTCCTGTGGAACTCTCTTTCCTTGCACAACAGGATCAGCTCCTGACGCACCCTATTCTTCTCCTTCAGCTTGTCCAGCGTCGCATGGTAGAACTCGTGATCATCTTTCTCCCGATGCTCGCGCACCAGCAGATCTGTAATGAGCTTATCGCGCACATCCTTCTCCTTCTTGATCACACTGAGCTGAGAGCAGACAACAGCGCTGTTGGCCTTTCGGGTCTCCACGCATTCTACGCGTCGTCGCAGTGCCGCCTCCTCCTCGGTCTTTGTTTTCTCGTGCATGGCGTCCAAGAGGCCGACTTCGGAGCGCACCATCGTCACCCGATTCGACTCTTTGATGTTCTTCTGCATAGCCTCAAACTCGTCAAGGGACTGCTTGAGGGCTTGGCGATGCTTGAGTTTACGCTCGGCAGCCTGCATTGTATCTCTGGCGAGGCTCATTTCGTCTCTGCGTCGCGCCAGTTGGCACTCCTCCACTTCGGCCATGCGTTGCAGGCGTCGACGGGTGCGATTGTCCTCCATTTGCTTGATCAGCTGACGGCGAAAGGAGTCAGCCTTGCTGCGCAGCGCGATCTCCTCGAGTCGCATCTCCTCGTTGATGCGCTCGCGCTGTTGGCGGGCCTGTTCCTTCTCGCGAAGGTACGCGTTGCGGCGCTCCTGCACAGTGGTATCTGCCTGGTTTCTAATCTTCAAAGACGTCTGGGCGCGCTCCAACTCGAGGTCTAGGGCGCGCAAATTTTGACTGCTTTCGTGCATCTGTTGACGGACGCTCGTCTCAACCATTTCCCGATTGCGCTCCACCTTCATAGCCTTGGCCACAGCGTCGTCCACTTGCCCCTCCTGTAGATGGGGAAAGACTTTGCTGTTGCGTTCGGCCGCCAACTCCACCACCTGCTTCTTGACAGTACGGAAGATAGTCTTGATGGCATTACTCGGGTCCTTAACCAAGGGATCGGCGGTTGGATCGGTGTCTGAAGAGCCAAAATTCAGAGGCTTCATACGCCTCAGTATATTGTCCACCGGCTCCTGCTCGACGGTGGCAAACATGGAAACGCCCGGCTCGTCCCAGGCCCCATACTGGATGTGTGGCACCTCCAAGAGCCGCTTCGGATCCTTGACGTACATTCTGCAGCCAGAAACCAAAATTCCAGCAAAACGTGAAACCTAATAACCTAATAATAGAAACAAAAACCCTGAAATGTGTACTATGGACCGTATAATACACGTCCGACTCAGCGTCTCTTGCGTATCTTTTTCTGCTTTTGCGCTGGCAAGTCGAATCGAAATCGTGTGTTAACGTAACGAAATATGTTGATGAACTGATAATGTGTCTCAGAGAAACTTCAAACTGCTGACTTGTTATTTGAAAAGCAGGCCACTGGGATGGAAAGGAATAATAAAGTGAAGCAACTAAATTTTAATAATGATGAATAGGTTTTCAGTAACCCATTCAGCCAAAGGAACAATTGCGTGATAGTTGCCTCAGCTGGGTCTAACCAAGTAGAGGCCTTGACTCTCCACACCTAAGCAGAAAGAATTCGTCGGAATCTGTAATATACTAGCCAATGATCTCCTGAGTCGGTGAACACTAATTGTTAACTTATCCTTTGAGGTTCAAGTCCACTTAAAATATAGTTCGTAGCCTGCATACGAAAAATGCTTAAAGTCTAGACCAAAGCAATCTAAAAAGTTATCGGCGGCTAAGTACTTAGATAGTCGCTACTCTCCATCAAGTACTCCAGCACTTTTGACTATTAACACATTTATGGGAACTTTGGAACATCCATGAATATGGACGCTTCAGAACTCTATCACCATATCTCCTGCCACAGAGCAGTTTTACAATTTTGTTCATCAATTCGGATCAAATAGCCTTATAAAGAATGAATTTTAATTCTCAAAAGACTCTTTAATAGCTGTATGATACATACATATAGTCAGTAATTGTCCAAGAGGGATTTATGATTGGAACAGACAATAAAATATATACAACTTAATCATAAATGCACCTAAACAATAAAAAAATATATAAAATCGTTTAACGACAGACATTTTATATTTTTATAGAAGTCTCCTGGTTGGTTAGTTGGCTACAGATTGTCAGATAAACAGACTTAGTCCATAAAAAGAAAGTCCAGTTCCATACCTTAATGAATAACTTTTCATCTCATAGAGTTCTGAAAAATAAATAAATACAAGAATTCGATGAAATATTGCAGCTGATGTTTATTCATAAGGAATGATTCAACAAATGTGAAGAGTTCAAGTGAGATATCGCCTGAATATAAACCTGAATGTTAAGTTGTTTAGCCAAACAGCTTCCCTACGATGCTCTCAATTTAATTAAAAGAAAAAAAAAAGTTACTATCCCAGTCTAGAAGTAAATCAAAGAAAGAGTTCTGGTGAATGATCTCTGAAAGAAATAAAGAATTGCTCTCGTTCCCGACCAGCCACTTACAAATACCTAAGCTAATTATTAAGGCTAAGTTTAAAAAAATTGCATCGTTACTTACCTATTTCTACTTGTATTTAGAACCAATCGAACTGATTTGATTCTCCTTTTTGGATAGACTAGTATGTGACATTTATAGTAGGATCAGCTCGACAATCAGAATTCATCCAAATCTTCTAAGCCAATGGGTTCTATGTGTTCGTAGCCGATTTAATTTTCAACCTCTACTGAAAATACTTTTGAAGTTCACAGTTCAGGTATGTTTGGCTTTTAGTGTCAACCTCAAACATTTCTCGGAAAGTATATTCATATTTCTAGAAAAAATTGTTTTTTTTTTTCAAAAGAAAAAAACAAAAAAAAATATTTTTATACTCTTTACAAGTATTCATCCTTCATCCTTCCATCTACGATGTGGTGCTGGCGCGAATGCAAGTTGGAATTCATGTTCCGGATTCCGGCAAATGTGCGCAAAGTTATGTTACGGCGCTACTATTGGGCCACATGGCTATGTGCCGGCTTGGAGTACGCGCTACTGAGCCTATTTTTGTTGGTCGCCCTGTTGGACAGCGAATATCCGGGCGACTGGATTGCGAATGTCTTCCAGGCGACACTCTATTCGCTGTATACCTGGGCGGCGATGCAAGGCGTGGTTGTGGGCGTGGCTTTTTACGGGATACTGCTCTTTAAGGCGCACAATCTACGCCCGATCTTATATCGCACTCGATTCGAGCGACTGGTTGGGGAATTGCCCCGAAAATGTTTACTACTCGCATCGGTTATCTACATGGGCGTCTGCAGCGGCTTGCTTTATGGCAGCTTCCTCGAGGATGGGATGTCCTTTTTGCACTATTATGGCATAGTTTGCGCCTTAATTTATTTTATACGCGTCCATCGCCGTTTCCGTAACTTTGTGAAGCTGCCTGTAGTGCGGTTCGACCAGAGCCACACATTGCAATGGATATGGTGGAGATCCTTTCAGCTGGCACTCCACGAGAACTGTGTATCTTTTGGCATTCTGACCATCTGGAACTGGGACTTGTTTTGGGAGAATCCGCGCGTGTCGCTTTATGCTTATGGGGTGGGTGTCCTGATCACAGCGAAGCTGCATATTGTCCGACAGATGTATGAGATGGTGCTGTACCTACAGCTGCCGCTGGTCCTCCAGAACTGGGAAATCGAAACGAAGAAGGGCATATCCGTGCCTGCAATGCTTTCACAATTGTTGCACCGATCTGTACGCGGGCTGTTTGGGGAGCTATTTGATTGTGGCTTGGAGGAAACACGCCAGGAGTTAGGCTTAGCCGAGGCGCTAAGCACCAATCTTCTGTACGGATTTCAACTGCAGGCGTCTAAGGACTTTTACGACATGATGTCCTGCTGCGAGAACACAAGAAGTAAAAACATTTTTCAATTGGATTGCGTCAGCCGATGTCCTTGGCTGCCAGTACGCGACCTTATCTTCGACATGATTGAGGATTTTGTCAAGAAAATGGAAATCTGCTGCCCCCAACCGAGTTGGCCGAAAAGGCAGAGATCTCTGGCCGAGATGTTGCGTGAGAGCGAGAAGCAGGCGCGCTTACATCTAGGGATGCGTCCCCTAGTCCCACCAATGCCGAAACTATGCCTATGGAAGCGCGCCCCCGACCAGGAGCCCCAATGCGAAAGCCTGAATGATGCACCGAATTCCCGGTACAATCTTTACGAGTATCCGCAATCGCTAATGTGCTGGCTGAAGCTGATCCTGGAAGTAGTCATCCAGAGTTTCATTAACTCGGTGCCCCCCCTAAGAGCCCTATTCGTGGCCGATATCTGTGCGCCAGTCAATTATGAGCTACACTGTGCCCAGCCGTTGCGCTGGCTCTTGCAGGGACTCGTCTGCGTCTGTGAGCGTTCGTTGCATGAGGACAAGTACGGGATGTTGCAGAGCGATCTGAAGAAGATATTCGACCTACTCCTGAAAGTTGAGCGACAGCTGATCAATGCTCGCGAGCTGACAAGACCAAGTTTGCAAAACATACGTCCTGCTAAACTGGATAGGAGCTACTATCTGCTGTGGATCGCTGCAGAGCGCAGTCTTAACAGATTGCTAGAGACATTCGATCCTTATTTGAATCACATTTTGGACATGGGGCTGCAGCAGAAACTCCGAGAACGATCGTTGAATTCTCCTCTGACCTAAGATATTAATGAATTGCGTTAAATTATTTTGGTTATTTGTTGTCGATTCTATATAGTATACAAATTATAATTTACATGTTCTCTTCTCTTTTTGAGAAACTGTCGCTCTTGGCGGATGCTTAGGAACATGACTCGCAAGGAGTTACAATCTGCTTCCATCCATACTAATTGGAGAAACTATAGAGTCGCGTTGCGAGACTTGAAGTTAAAACTGGGGAGTAGAAACTTTATCTAAAATGAAACGTTTTTTTTCTCAATTAGATACATTATTTGTATTTCTTTATTTTGTTTTTTATTTTTATTTTTTGACGTTACAATTATTGCAGTTTCGTTACATACTTAATGCGTTGCTTGAAAAATTCATATTTTAGATCCTTGAAATGACAAAAAAAAAAATGAAAAAAAAACGAAATCCTATGAATATGGAAATGAAATTGGAGATTTCGCTATCTTGCTGTTTCATAAACTACAATTTCTTCTGAATTATTTATGCACATTGTTGCAATATAAAATGCTGTGCTGTGATTTATTTTATTTATAATAATTTTTTTTTGTTAACTTTTTTAACCAGACAAACGTACAGCATGCTTGGATCTTCGCTTATTGATATTGTTATTAAATTTTTTTTTATATAATTCGAATTCGAATTGTGGCAACTTTTTATTGAGCGTTGAGCAAACTTTTTAGGTAGCTTGAGAAGGCTTGAGCTGCCACTGAGGTATTCGCCAAGCGTCTTTCTTTCTATCTTTCTTTCTATTCTTCTGTGTTTTTGCATTTTTTGGGGAAATCAAAAAATAAATAATTTGAAAATAGTCGTGAAGATCGTTTGAAATCACTTTTCCGCAACTGCCCTTCAACCAAAAGAAACTTTGTTTTACCAATTATTGCCATGACAGCTATACGATATAAAGACTCCGATTTTGATAAAACTTCAGAATATCATGAGACACTACAAAAACCTCATTAATTCTCAATTTGGTTATGATATCGGACTACGAGTTACGTACGAGTTTTTAGTACTATATGATATTGTGGACCGATTTGAATGAATCATTAGAATATTATCATAGTTGGCAGAGTTGCTTCAGATATCTTCAAAAACAAAAAAGTGAACCCACTAAGATTGACTTTTCCTTCGATCGTTCCTATGGCAGCTATACAAAATAATGAGGCTATCTATCATTTGTAATAAACTTGCTCTGCATTTGGATAAGACACGTCTACATACCAAGTTTGGTGTCCTTAGTTGTTATGGTGCACGAGTACTCGATGTTCATACAGACGTACATATATGTGCCTATAGTATGGGATTTACCACGTCCGTCTGTGGCTGGTTTATGCCTTTTAACGCTTCGGGTACAGAGTATATAATGAGCGGAAAAACAAGATTCGACGGATAGTACATCTACAACTTAAGGCATACAGTAAAATAAAATATATAGATGGAATTAGATAATTATGTTGGTATGCTTGTCTTCACAATTCAAAAACTCAAAACAAATTTTATTTTTTTTTTTTTTTTTGATTCTCTCAAAGGTCGTAAATTAGCTCAGTTTCTTTCGTTTCTGTTTGTTAATAGCGGCACAAATACAAGTATGGGTGTTGTTTTTTGTGGTTGTTGTGTGTGTGTTTTGATTTAATTCAATTTCTTTGATTTGCATTTCTTTACAAGAATCTAACAATTGTTAACAATAAACTTAATAGATAGCATAGACACCTTGCCGATTTCAAACAGTTAATAACAATTGCAAAATTTGCTTAAGCGTAATGACTGAAAACAGTGCTTCGAGTTAAAAGCAAAAACTATGCATTACTTATTACTACAAAAAAAAAATTAATTGATTGATAACTTAAAACTGTTCTCTTCACCTCATTCTTCTTATGTGTTTTATATAAGTAAGTGTTTATGTGTTATTTATTTCATTTCTTTTCTTTTGTTTGTTTGTTTTTGTCGAAAAACTCTGTATGCTTCGGTGCTATAATGAATTAGTTTTAGAACAAGAGCGATAGAGAGGGAGAAATTGTGGTTAAGATAAATGTTTGTATGTATGTATGTATGTAGTCGTAAGTATATAGAAGAAGTTTGAATGCAGGTTAAGGCCTATGTGTGGCAATTGTTGTATTTTTGTATTCCTCTTTAGTTCTATTGCGGAGTGCTGACCACTCCCTTCATTTTCTAAATCGATGCCAGACTATATAGAAATTTCGTTTATCGATTATCTCAGCTTAATCGTCTCTCTGTCTCTCTGTGTATATAAATGTTTAAATGCATTTGTGCCACATACTATATGTATATGTGTGTATGTATGCATGTGTATATGTATGCTTGTTGAGCTTTAACAATATTTGGTTTCATTTTTTTTAAATATTTGTATTAATTGTTCTCATAGATTATATAAACAAATTTAACATTAGATGCTTCTGCATTTTTTGCCTTTTTTTCTTTTAGTTTTCATTAAATGTGTGTTGCTGGTTTTGTCTTTTGCTTTTAGATATCAATAAACATTTCATTTAATATTTACCTATATATTTATATAATATAAATATCAATTTCTTGTTATATTCAGTTAATTTTCGATTTTGCAATTGAAATCTTTGGCTAAACAAATGAATGCAATTTCTGTGTGATACTTAAAAATCGTCGTTTTCCTATGCATGCCTGCCTATCAAATGTTAACAAATTTTATTTAAGACTATATAGTCTTATATATATATATATGTGCTATGACTTTTTTCCCCATATATCGTTAAATGTATGTATGTATCTTCGTATTTTTTGTTGCTGTAAATCTAGTAGTAGAGCTCAATTGGCCAGTACTACAACGTCCAATTCGCAGAGACACTTAAGAGCTATGTTCATAAGATAAATTGATGTGGTAGATGCAAATGTTACAGAGCACTGAACAGAATATATGTAAGTATATATGTATACGACGAGCCTACAATACAATACAAATCGATGTTTTAAGACTAATTTCAAAAGTTCAATTCAAAACACAATTGCGTGGCTGCGTTCGATTAGAATTCAAACTTACAATGCAAACCAAATTTGTATCTTTGGAATTAGCGTTTGACTAGAAATTTAGACATAAATCAAATGCAATAACATATTATAGTTTTGAAAATATTCCAAGGATTAACACAATTTTTCCAAAGACATACATATGTATGGTTTTGTGTAAGCGAGCATTTTGTTTCGAATGCACAGCCTAATATTTTTTCCGTTTTTTGTTCTGTTCTGTTTATGTTTAAAACTAGACAATCTAAAAATTCGACTGGCCCGTAATGGACCTCACTAGCAACGTTTCACAATTAAAATGGTTGGTTTAGTTAAATGATCTCTATTTTGGATTTATGCTTTGAACAACTGCGGAAATTCGTTTGCTATTTCGCGCACCAACTGCTGATCCGAGGCGCTGCATTCGGTCTCCTCGCAAAAGATTCGCGTGAAGATCTTCATGAGGTCGTGTTTGCGATGCTGATGCTCCTGATAGTTTGTATTTCGCAAGATGCGACGACACAGCTCCAAATAGCAGGGACGTGTCTGCCAAACACAATTCAAGTATATTAGTGTGCAAACAGCAGTGATTAACACTAATATTGTACTTACCGGGCTGCCTGCATCAAGATCCGACAGCTGACGCACCACAATATCTATAAGCACCTTAATGTCGTTCGTGTAGAACATGCCCGCCGTATCCGGATGGCTGAAAATGTCTATAAACATGCGCAGCACCGTATTCATATGCTCATTGGGATGTTTAAGCATGCGCGTGGGATCATCTGCAACAGACAAACGACAAATACAGATTAGAGATCTGTTCCACTGCCCTTGAAAATAAGTGCAACACACCCTCGCGATTCAAGAGTAACAGCAGCTTCTCTGTGAACACCTTAGCCGTGGGTAGGTTCTGCATCGCCTCGATGATGACGTTCACCGTATGCTCGCCGAACTGCTGATTGAATGCCAGGATCAGGGCAATCACCATATCCACCAGCACCTCCGGATTGTTGCCCTCGACTATTTCGAGCAGGAAACTTGCAAAATGCACTCCCAAGTAATCTACAAGCAATCATTAATTAATAATTATGTTAAGCAAGAGGTACAATCGATCACATACCCTGATGATTAACCGGCATTGCCTGGCCTAGCGAGAATATTATCGTTAACATATTCACCAGCTGCTTAAAACGATCCAAATTCGAAAAGTGGGTCTTCATGTCTTCTACCTGCAAAGAGAAACGTACGTTAAGGTTTTCGTAATAACATTTTCAGTTCAAAAACTCCATTCTATTTTGTGCTTAAATATAAAACATTATAGAACATAGTGGTAAGATGAGATATATTCATAAAAACTACAATGATTTCGACCTTTGACTAGCCTTTTTATACCCTATGTTCGTAAGGTAAAAAGGATATACGTATTAGGTTTGTGCAAGGTATGTATCAGGCAAGCACATACAAGTATAGACATGTCCGTTCGTGGGTCTAGAACTGAAGCATCTCCATATAGCTGTCTAAAATCGCGTTTCACAGATCTCCCTTTACTTTAATCCCCACGCAACAACAAGTTAGAAGAGCTGCCTTAAATATTCAATCACCGCTAAGGAAGGGGTAAAAATACTTACAATCTCTAGTGGCAGCACCGAAGTCAGCAATATGTCCACTATAATGTGGTCCAGATGACAGGCAGCAGTGAAAGTCTTTAATAGCAAGCGTTTGATGGACCAGCGCGTCTCCATTTGATAATACTGTACGAGGTTGATGAACATCTGATATTGATCGCAGGACATCTCATAGCAGCTGATATTTTCGTCAGCATTATTCTGTAAGGCACAACTTAGATTTCGAGTGAACATTTTCTTTAGTGTTGACTCACCAATATCTCGACTAGCTCCTCGAGAAACTGTAAAATGTCCTCCTCGTCCTCATAGAGCATCCAAGTGCGCTGCTCCGTATCGTTCTTGCAGTCGGCCAGCTGGGAAAACAAATACTGCAGACGCTTCGAGTCGTGCGTGATGCCCAGCAGCTCCTTGGGGGTGGCCACCTTGCCGGTGACATGGACAGCCACAGCCTCCAGGTAAGGATTGATGGCACCATTGTATAGCTGTTCCAGGCTAGTCAGCACCACGCGCAGTGCCTCGCAGGAGAGGTCAAAGCTAAGGTTTGTATTGCGACGCAAAGCGTCTACAATCTGATAAACATCTGAGGACTCCACTTTGAGCTGAGCACTCGCATGGAGGCCACCACGATGCGAGGGACTCTCAATGCTGTCCAGAGCTTGGCTATTTTCGGCACTGTTGGCAAAATCCCCATTGCCATTGCAACCCTCGTCGCTGCCATCGGATTTGTCGGGTCCACTGTAGACAGTCTGGCTGAGGAGTTCGCCGGGAGCGGCACCGTTGCTGCTGCTGCCATTGCCCGAGGATTTGTGAACGCTGCCGGTGGTTGACGCCGCCCCAGCGGAACGTCCGCCGCCTGCGCCGTTTTTATTATGCGCCTGATGGCGGCCATCAGTGGCACTTAACTGACTAGTCTCCTTGTAGGTGGTCACCACATCTTCGCTGGTCGTGGTTGTGGTTGTTGTCGTCTCCGATGGCTCCGATGTAATGCTGTTGTCCTGCGCCACATCACTGGTCTTGGCAGCGGCAACGGGCGGCGCTGGCAGTGGCAGTGGCTGTTGCTGCTGTTGTTGCTGCTGTTGTTGCTGCTGCTGTTGCTGCTGCTGAGGCGTCTGTATCGTGCAGCTGCTGCTTTGAAGCTGCATGGTGCCCATACTGGGGGACTCCGGCATGGCTTGCGGCACGCTGGCGCCCACTGCGGGACTGGACATGCTCTTTCTGCTCATGTCCAGACGTTGCGAGGCGGGCGGACTGTGCTGCTGCTGCTGCTGTTTGTGGCACTTGGTCAGTTGCTTTTCGCTATAGCTGTGCGAATAGCTCAGTGAAGAGTCGCCATCGCGTTCCGAACTCTCCTGCAGTTCAAGTTCGAGTAGATATTGGTGTAATGTTTGGGTTTTGGGGTGGACTTACCGCATATAGCTTTTCCATGGTGTGCTTCTTTTCACGCAAACGCTCCAACAGCTCATCTTTGGACATAATGCCATTGATCTCGAGCTCATTGCACTTCTCCAGCGACTCAATGGACGAGTTGAGGAAACTGATGAGGAAATCATGTTCCACCTGTGTGTGCAAAGCAATGAAGGAAACATTACATTCTGTCTAACTGCTAACTGTACATTTGTCCTTAGAGCGTGTAGAAGTGTGTGTGTGTGTGTGTGTGTGTGCACACCCTCGAGACATGGCGCACACTTGTGGCCCAAGCACTTCAACTACATTGTGCATGGCAAAATCCTAAAGGCACTTGAAGTTGACGATGATGTCGATGTCGACGAATGCTTTTAGGTACCCCCCTCCCCCCACTCCCCTGCTTAGCACAACCCAACCCCTTTGGCGAGTACTCACCTTAATCTTCATTACGTAATTCGATGGCACAAAGCCAATGTTGCCCTTCATGCTGACCACTTGCCACCAATTCCTTTGGCGTGCCGATGTCTGATACAATATAAAATATTCGCCCTCATCGAAGCTGATAGTCTTGGGATAAACCGCTTGAAAGTCATAGAGCGCCTTAAGCATCTCGATGCCTTCGCTTGAGGATGCTGTTCCGGCTGTTGTTGCTGTCGCTGCTGTCGCTGCTGCTGCTGCTTCAGTTGTTCCTGTTCCTGTTCCCAATCCTGTTCCCGTTTCTGTTGTTTTTGTTGGCGCTGCTGCGGCTGCTTAGAAGAAGCACAAGCAAAAGAAAAACAAAAAACAAACAAAAAACAGCACACGCGCTTTTAATAATAAAACCTTTTGAATAATAAACGCGTACGAATTTATGTTTTGAAGGACGATATGTGGGCGTGGACACAACAAACGTCAAACGGGAAACCAAAAGACAAGTCCGGAGTTGATTTTTTTTTTTTTTTTTTCAAATAGGCAGTGGCAGAAAATTGCAGGCGTTAAAAGTTCGCTGCCGAGGGCCAACTGGTGACTGACGTTGGACTCTGACTCCGGGCCAGGCTCACACACACACACACACACACGTACACGCACACACCTATGCTTCAGCACATACACAGAGACATTTACTCACGGGCTGGCGTGCACGAAGCACGTACGAGTGCGCTTGCAGGCAACAAAAACAACAACAACAAATTACCACAATGAGCAGTAAAATGCAATTTTTCTTTTCTAGTTCTTTCTTGTTGGCTTTTGTTTCCTTGGTTGTTGTTATTGTTTGCGCTTTTTGCTACTTTCTGCCACACAATGTTTACTCACGCACACAGTTGCAGAGTTCTACAGTTACCGTTATGCACACACACTTATGTATACACACACCAACAACACCATTAAGAGCAAAAACATCTCCTGCGCGCGTCGTCCTTGTTGTTGCTTGGTTTGTTGTTGTCACAGAAAATTGTGTGAAAATCTCGACACGAAGTAGAAGAACAAACCGTTTCGAAACAGGACGCCCCACTCCCAGCTTATTTTCTCTCTCTCTATTCCTGGCCCACTCACTCTCTCTCTCTTTATTCTGCTGGTGTTTGCTTTGACTCTCTGCTCAATTTTTTTTTCTGCTTTCGAACTAGTTCTTGCTTTGGCTGTAATGCAATTTCCGGGCCAGCCCAAAAGCATGCAAAGGTGAATTAACGTTACGAGGGTAGACCGAAAAGTTTCCCAACAAATTTATCTTTTTCAATTAGAGTAAAAATTTTATAATAAAAACCTGCTTCAAATGGTGCCCACAACTTTTGTTGCTACTTTACAACCAATTACTACTTGAGTATAAATACGCAATTGATGCAATTAATTAATTAATTGACAGGCAGTTCAAAGCTCTGAGATCATCACGAATTGGAAGTGTATGCATTTATTTAAACTAAAAAGAAATATGGCAACAGCAAAGAAACAAATAACAATAAATCTAATGCATTTCATCTATTTGCTTGTTCCCAATATTTCTTCATTTTATTACAACACATTATAGGTAAGCCCCAAATTTTTGGTTTTCTAAAAAAACCAATAAAAAGTAATAACTCTTGTAACGAAATAGGCATGAATGTGTCTGAAACGTTTATCAACATTAATAGCAATTTTTAATTGGCGAAACTTTCAAGGTAACCCACCAATACCTGAAAGTATGATGAATGCGATGGTTCGAGGGTAACTGAATAATAAATATACTACACATACAAAACAGCCTTTCTCAGAGACCATCCTTAATAATAGTGTCATTCATTTCATTATACATATGTATAATGGGAAAACATAATAAAAGGAGACACATACATACATACATACGTCAATATTTATAAATGTGTAAGGTCAGATGTGAATCAAAATCCTTGTCCTGCAGTCTCATTGTCAAATACACACATATCCTTTTCATAAATACACACATACAACAACATGTTTGTCTATATAAACATATGTATGCAAATTGGGCAAAAAGAAAACAACCCACTTACCCATATTTTCAGCGCCAGCTCAGCACTTCAATGTGTGTGAGTGCCGTTCGTGCCTATTTATATTTGTATATGTATGTATGTGTACGAGTGTGAGCCTTTCGTGTCTCTTCTTCCTATTGCTTTTCCTGTGCTTTGTCGTTCTGGCGCTTTACCGTTAACCAAGGACGTTTACTGTAGCTTGCCTTTGTTGTGTTTTGCTATTGTCGATTGTTTATACACACATGTGTGTGTTTGTGTGTGTGTATGCTTTTGGGTGTGGAGCTTGAAAAATTAATCACTTCCAAGTTGGTCGACACAATTTCTTTAATCACTTGTTGTTGGCGTTGTGGTTGGGCGACGCTGGGGGCGTTGCCAGTCACTGCATATTTACAGTTATAAAAATTGCAACAATTGACGCACACACACAACTACACGAGAATACACGTTAATTCAATTTGTTTTCTTTTTTGTATCATTTATGCTGCATTTTGCATTGCACTCCACCAAAAGGCACAAATCTACACACACATAAATAAATGAACACATGCGCATCAATTTACAATCATACAAATGTACGTGTACCTACGTACATGCACATGTATATGCAGGAATGTATGTATGTGTACGCGCGCGCACTTACTATTTGTTTATGGTAACGGTGCTTTGCGTTTGTTTTGATTGCATGAGCGGTCCATTATGAGGCACGAATTGTGTTTTGGCAGCAACAAAAATCTGACATTACAGCACACTCACACACATACACCGAATGCCGATGTCCCTGTTGCCCTTCAGCTGTGTGAGGGGCAACCGGCAAAATGTTAAGGTTCGTAGTGACAGCGACGACAGTAACAACAAATATAGCCACAATACGAATCTAATTACAAGTAAATGCACACGCGCACTAGTTTATATATATTCTAAGGAAATTTATCTGGAAGCTGCAGCCATGCCTATCCAGTGTCACCATATAACTACTTGCAGTTATCGTTTGTCAGCTGTGTGCGACTCGATAAATTTTGGTGCTCAAGGCCTATTTATCGTTTTATCGCTTATTGGGGGAGCGCGCGTTTTGTGGCAATTTAAAAATGTTGAATGAAAAGCCGTACTTAGCATTTGCAAACTTCGTTTACTTGCATTCTTTGTTAGGGTTTGTGTGTGTAGATACATATACATATATATATATATATATATATATATATATATATATATTATATATATATATATATATATATATATATATATATATATATATATATATATATATATATATATTGTGACTTTTGTTGCCTGCTAAAATACTGTCATAGGGGCAAAAGGTACACAAATGTTCTTTTGTTTTAGTTAGTTTAAACATTCAGGCGAAACAACAGTTTTCGTTTTATCTCTTCATTTAATACAACTTAAATGCGTATTGCGTACAAAATTGAATCATCTATTTAGTTCAGTTGAATTGCAAGGCATTCTAATATTATGATTGCACTATTAATTCTATTTAAAATACATCCATATGTCATGCTCTGTAGTTCGTTCATTCACAGTTCGATTTTTTAAATTTTGTTTTGTTTTGTTTGCTTTTTAATAAGTACACCTTTTAACATATTTTATTATGTACCTATTTGTGTATATCATATGCTTCTGCACAAAGGCATTCTATAAAAATGCATATACATGTGTATATGCGTTTAGTTATTTATGAAACAATATTGAAAATAAAAAAAGTTGGGGGCTTAAGTTAATAGCCAATTGTAAAGTCACTTAATAATTAGAGGCAATAATCAATTGTTTAGCATTCACATTCGCCTTATTTGACGCACTTATACAGCATTCCAAATACATATGTACATTTTTTTTTTGATTTCTTCGATTCAACAACAAGTCCGACCATAGTCGCATAGTTAAGATATAACAATGGTTTTTCAATTTATTTTTTGCTTGCCCTCTTGAGTCAATCGTGTTGCAATTATAAATGGCAATTGTAGCAAAGATAAAAGTGTTGATACAAATACATAATAAGTTAGCACTCGTGATTGTTTTATTTATATTTTGAATTTTCTTCTTTTTTTAGTTGCTTTGCTTTGTTTATTCTTTTTTTGTATGTATATAATTAAATAACATCAGTTTATTTTATTTATCGTCTACCACGCTCGCCATGAGCCTCACACATACATCAACCATGGGCACAGCGCCGCGTTACAAAAATATGCACGTTTACAAAAAAAAAAGTGGAGAAAAAAATGTTTGTATATAATGTATGTATAAAAATAATAATTATTTAAATTACTCATTTGATGTCTATTAAACAATTATTTCAAAGATTGCGTCATTGCATTGTACTTTTACTTGGTTGAGATTAAAATATAAGTATACATATATGCATTGCCATGCTAGTTTTGCTGTTTTTGCTTTTTGATTTCTATTGGTCATGTCATCGAATGTTGCACAAAGTCAGAATGGGTTAAGTGCTTCCATTCGCATAGGATATACATATTAAAAAAAAAAACATAATGTGGCTCAGGATAATACATACATTTAAAATATTTCAGCGATAATAAGAATATATATATATATAATAATAATAGTATTTTTTTGCATCTAGAGCCCCGTTTGCCTCCTAAGTTGTCTTTCGTTTCCGTTCATGTTGCCGTCTTCTGCGTTCCAGCCCCACTGTGCCACATCCCCCTCCCCAATAGCCCGACAATCTTCAGCTGTGCCTCAAAAACTGCCAACCGACACGACAAATGCACGCCTAATTTCTCTCCACTTCGGTTCGCTAATTTGTTAAAATTAAACTACAAAAATAATATTGATAATATTTTGCTGAACATGTGCGTCACTGCCGCCATCATCTTCCTCCTTTTCTGTCATATTCTCCATTTGCGTCGAGCACACATATTCCAATCACACAAGCCAACGCTCACATGCCACGCCTACGTCCGGTCCGTCTTTGCGCTCCTTGGCAGCAACACTATCGACGCGATCATTTATCCTCGCAGCATCCGTTCTTGGCCAGCTGCTTCTGCAGAGCGGGCGGAATGAAATCTTTCGTCTTGGAATGATTTCCCTGACCCAGCAGCGCTGGTTCCACGTGCTTGCCCTGTTGTATGGACTGTATGCGCTTAAGCAGATCGTAGTTGATCCGCTCGCTCACCACCGAGTCTTGCCTGCAATGAGCAAACAAAAAGTATATTAGTCTTCGGCAATTATTATTTGGAGATCGACGATTGAATGATTATAATGATGGAAATCCTGGGTAAAAGTATTTAGAAATAAATTGTTTTGTATTTTGACAAATCAAATACTATCTTGAAATTAACGATTGAATGGCTGATAAAACAAAACTGGTGGAGGAAGTCTTTAGAATTAAAAATACTTATGTACGGATATGTTGAATTAAGCTCTAATAATTCCTTATTATGTACGATTAGTCTGTTGGAAAGATTTAAATGCTTAAGTATTTAACGTTAATCATCGCTTGAAATCGATGACTAAACAATTCACTAAAATAATACTGTGTGATTTGTTTTAATTGATAATTATGAATTAATCTTTAATCGCTCCAGATTATTTACAATTCGGCTTTTCATAAAAGGCTTAACTGTTTCAATATTTAATTTCAATCCGCCACTCATTAATCCATTACCTATTATTTTCAAAAGTATTTGCTTAAATATTTATAAAAAAAAAAACAGCAGAAAATAGTAGTTTAAGATTAAAGACCAAGATATCTTGGGTGAAAATTAATTTCATATTATGTACAATTAGAGTCTTTTTGAAAGTATCAATTGCTTAAATATTTAAACAAAAAGCAGTAACGTTTATGGGAAGGGTCGAAGGGAAGGGTAGTTATGCATTTTGTGCATTAAATAGGGTTAAATATTAAAAAAAAATCCGCAAAGTATTCTTGACACTTTTTCTAATCAAGTTAATCTATTTATTCAATTTGTGTCTGAAATTTTCATCTTTAAGCAATCCAGCAACTAATCAGCCTTTTGTGAAGGACTTTAATTTACAAGTATATCTTTAGCTTTCTTTAAATAGTTATTTAACCATAACTGCAGTTGAAGTCTTTCTCTTTCTAATTCCATCATCTTTCATATGTGCATTTACAGATCATTTTCGTCGAGATTAAGACTTACTTGTAGTCGGGATGACTCAGCACCTGTTCGCGCATCCAGGTGGCTGTTGTGACCAGTTCGCCAGCTGCGCGTTTTTGTATGAAACGCAGATACTGTTCAATGGTACAGTGCGTATCCGTGTCCACCTCCATGGACTGCAAGTAGCTGCGAATGAGCGGAACTAGGCCGGGAAAAACGTTGGGCTGCCAATAAAAAAACATTTGGTTATTGGTTTAGCTTTGAACAGATTTGTCTCTAAGCTTACCTTTCCATTAAAAATCTCATTGATGGTGAGCAATTGGAACAGTTCGTTATCCTCGTCATCCGTATCGGTGTGATCGCTATCGATGCCGTTTGTGCCGATTCCGTTCATTCCATTAACTCCATGACCGTTTAGCTTGGGCATGCCATTGCTCCAAGGCGCATTGCTGCCGTTCGTTGTGGCCTTGTCCTCCTTGTCCTTCTCTTGGACAGCAGCCTTTGTGGAGGTCGCAGCCGCCGCGGCACGTTGCTCGGTGGTCTTGGATGAGCGACGGAACCAGAATCTCTCCTTGCGGCAAGCATCGCGCTTCTGAGCCGTCTGCATGTTCTCGTCCACCTTGCTGATGGGCGTCAAGAAGTTCAGCTGGTAGGACAAGATGACGCGTGTCAGCAACACCACAAAGCAGACAATGGCCGCGTTCTCAAAGTCGCTGATCTGGGCTTCGCACGGACGAAACTCGACACGCCAGCCAATGGAGCTGTTGGGTGGCGGCGGCTTGAAGCGCATGGTTTGCCAATTGGTGGACTGTATGTTCTCGAAGTGGTCGGTATCCTCGTTGTCGTCCTGATTGACCTTCTCGCTGAACAGAGAGACGGTGTCTCGTATGAAAAGATGGGCAACATGTTGGGCCAGCAGATGATCAATGCCTCCATCGATCAGACGCTTATAGACGTTTTCATCGTAAGTTAGGGGGACATCGTTGTATTTTGCGCCCTCGGGCGACAGATACGAATCAATCGAATCGTAGCGTGATTTCGCAATCCGAAATTTGCTATTCTGCAAGGGGAGGAGACCACGCTCCTCCTCATTGCGGCAGTCCACCGACGAGCTTATCACATTCCAGCGGCAATCGGATTCGGTTAGGTAGCCGCGATAAATCGGCGAGGCAGCACTTAGAGCCAGCATAATGGGACATAATGGCGCCAGCTGATCGTACAGGCGTCGAGCTTCGGTAATGTTACAGGCCTGGAAAGTCAACTGCAGGCAGCAACAGCCCATTCCGAAACCCATGGCATCCAACAGCACAACGTCTGGCTCACCGGGCGGAGCACCCTCCACAGGTAATTTTGTGTTGACATCTTTGAAAACTGTAATCGAACAGGGAGTTTAGCATCTAGCAGATAATGATTAAAATTGTTCAAAAATTGTAAATATCTTTGCAAAAACACTTGTATTTAGGTTAGGTTGCGATATCTGAGGCATGGCCTCTACTTGGGCCATCGAAAAGTTTGAACTGGAAGTCTTCGCCCGAAAGTACATTCACAAAAGGGCTACGTTATATAAGAACCGGAACACTTCCTACACATAAAGATGTAAAGGGGTTTCACATGTTTTTTTATTTTTCATTTCAATTGTAGCTCGAATGTTATCCCTTGAACTATTCCGCTACTGTGTCTACGGTTCTGGCCTAAATGTCCCCCCGTAGGAGACTGATGAGCATTCATTTATACTTCTTTCAGAATAGGTGCTCAGAAGTGTCTTAAACTTTCAACATAAATACAAAAAATACAAAGTGTTGCTAAATAGTTTTGTTGTTGTTGAAAAAAAAAAAAACACGAGGTTTTCTCCTTTAAGCTGTTAATCAATTTAAATATAAATGGGAAATCGAAAATATCCCACCAGTCAGAATTGTCATCTCGGATGAGAACTTACCCTTTAGTTTTATGGATACTTTCTCCCCACGGCGCATGCGTATGTTGCGAGTCAGAGTCTTGAAACGTGGATGTCCGGGAAAGATGGCCTCATCGGGGAAGTAGAGGGAACGGGCGGCACTCGTCGGATCCTCGGGGTGTGGCTGGCAAAGGGGGTATGTGAAGTTGGGGGCGCCCAGTCGTGGAAAGTTTGTTATCGACATGACACACTCGTCGCTGGCCAGCAGCTCGGTGACTTCCTCTCGACGATAACGCATGTTAGCTTCGACCAAATTGAAGTGGGCCATGAGGCCGCCAAATGGTTTGCCGGGTGTACCCTCGATCATATAGGCACCATATTCGGGACGCCACAGAGACTTGACGCCCTTGGGATCGGCCAATTCCTTCTCATTTAGTTTGGCCAGCAGGTCCTTCGCCTTGAGGGCAACGCGCGCCACCTGCTTATCATCATCGAACTTGACAATAATGTACTCGACCTCATCGCCCCACTTCAGCACATCGCCCTGGCGACTCTTCAGTCTGTGATAGAGATTTATAAACTGATTGACGCCATGCTCGCGGACATGATCGGCCAGTGCCTTGGTCTCCTCCCAGGATAGTGGACTGCCCTCGCTTAAGAGACCCATTGCTGAAACAAGAAAGAAAGAGAGAAGGAAGCGGCTGGTTAGTTCAGCAAATTCATTTGTTTCTGGCGGCCGTCCTCTGCAGCTTTGAATTTTGAACTTATCGCATCTGGCATATAAACGAGGGCTCTATCAAACAAAAGTGTCAGTGCTGGCTTTTGTTGTTTGCAATGACTTGAGAGCGAGCAGCTACTGCGACACAAGCTCGCACACCCATCCATATCGGACCGTTGCTCGTATTGCCCGTTTGTCGATCCATTGGTCGGTTTGTCGGGTCGCTCGTCTAATCGTTGGACTCTAACGTAATAGCAGCAGGCCCGTCTCTGCCTCTGTCTCTGTTTCTGTCTATATGCCTGCCTGCCTGCCTGCCTGTCTGTCTGTCCATCTGTCAGTCAGTCATCGCCGCATTGTGCAATGAATGTTCAGCATAAAAAATTGCGATGTCGTGAGACTGAACGGGTCGGACTGAACGGACGGAGAGCGACAACAAAATTGCAAATAAGCATTAAAGAATAATTACGAATTACGTAGAATTTGTTCAATTACGAAATGCAGGCAGCCAGCGACTAAAACAAACCGCCACCAATAACTTGCGACGAAGATAGCTCGATTTTTATTTCAACTCTTGGGTAGTTAGTATCTTCTTCTTCTTCTTTTTTTTTTTTTTTTTGTATAAGACGTTACCCAAATGTGCAGCATTTTTTTCGGTTCCTTCTTCGAATATATTTACTCTATTACTGCGCTAAAAATATACAACATTTCGCTCAACAATTAATTGATAAGATGGGCGCACACGCACAATTGAGAGCGCTACGTTAGGCGTACTAATAATAATCAAATAATTGATAAGCGTACGTTTTCTATAGAGATTCGTACATACAGACGAGTGTATATGAATACATACATATGTATGTATGGTAGTATATGAGTATATAAAGTATGCCTATGTAGATATCTATGTCAGTATGTCTGGTCGTATTTGGTATCCATGTCTGCCTTAAATATTCCACTTGAAGAGTAGTTTACCATTCTGGCGCCTTACTTGGGGCATTAAAAAGCATACGAATCGCATGTTTGTTTGTTAATGCGCATATTTTATGAACACTCAACGATTTTCAAGCACTTAATATAAAACAATAGCAGTCGCAAACTTCAGAGAGCTATATAATACATTCACGATACAGACACAACTGTTGCCCTTAGAGCAGGAATGCTCTCTACCTGAGGTCGCACACAACAATGAGAAAATATATTAAATAGTATCTGTGCAACTGCACAGTTCCAGTTCTCGAGATATTGTTCAACTATCTCAAATAGAGCGATTAAAGTTCTATCTATCAAGAAATATGAGTGAATGAATTGGCATATATTAAATAATTAACGTTTTCCTTTCACATGTGATACAATATCTGCTTTATTCGACTAACTTTTCAAAGGTTCTGCAAAGCGTTGTGCAACTTTTGGACTCGCATAAGAACGAAGGACGATGGGAAGGATTAGTCCTAAATTTAAAAGTTGAAGGAACTACACCTTTCAGAATCTGAATTCATCTAGACTTTTCTCGAATCGCAACTCAACATCGGTAAGACATGGGAGAACGAATATAACTTAATATATGGGGGTTCGATGGAGGTCCATATCGCCAAAGCACAGCAATAATAATAAAATCCACTGATTGCATTTTGTACTTTGTGACAGGTAATGACTAACTATTAGCTACACATAACGTGTGCGTCTGAATAGGAATTGAAATATAAGTCGCAGATAATGCCAGTTAAGAGCCATTACAAAACAGCTTAATGGTTTTATGGCACCCCTATCGAGTTCACAGCGGGGGCTGCAATTAAATGAAGCTTGTTTTGCATCACTTGATTTGTAGAATCATAGGAATGTAGTAATGCCGCACACACGCACACACACACACATCTTTTTCAATTATACAACATTGGAAAAAGTTTATGGACCGATCCGGTCATGTCTGGTTCTTCTCTGAAGTCGTTAATTGATTTTCTATGATTGGTTTTCTTCTTCCTCTTTTATTAAGAGAGAAAGTGGGGATTTACCCCACAGAAGTTGGATTTGAAATAAAGAATAAAGATCTTAGCTTCGAAATTATTCTATGTTTGCAATCCTTTAAAACGATTCATATGTGTATATAGCTGAAGGATACAGCTAAACATCACCTCAAGCTTGAAAGTTAACTGTAACCGAGGAAGAAATCACACAACACACGTCCGATTCAACTGTCGAATACTGTATTACTGCCTCCAGCTTAAAACTGCAGTACCTTAAGAATAAAACGGGCCTGCCCAAGAATAGCCCACGAGTTAGCCGAGCCCCATAGACTTTCCAAAACAAAGCGAGAGCCGAATGTCAAACGAAGTGTTGTTGCACTTGCTCGTGAGACGCGAACAGCCAGCTGCCGCCTGCAACGAAGTGGAAGCACGTGATCCGCTGAAACGATTCTACAGCCCACCCCCGAAACTCCACCAATACATCTGAACGATTAGTCGGATTATGCAAGCTAGATGGAATAAAAAAACTGCTCCGACTTTTAACATTAAAACCTAATCATCACAGATTTGAGAAGCGCTTCGATTCGACGATTCTGTTTCCTCTTACCTAACCATTAAAGTAGCTTCTTCTCGAAACGATCTTAGCGACAAAATGTTCCTTTTTTTAAGAAAAAAAGGATATTGATTCAAGGTTTAATTTATTTCTAGGCTACGATCATATTGATGTAAGATTTTTAAGCGTATTACAAAAGCACACATACACGCTTTTATCTTAGAAATGCTTCATTTTCGGATCTTCATTTAAAACAATCGATCAATCGGTAATCGGAAATAATTTAAGGATTAAGTGGAGAGCCAGTCGATCAAAGTAAAAGGAAAGCTTAAGAAAAGGAATACTTAAATTCTCTGCATTCTTAATAATAAACCGTTATTCATTATAAGTTGTGAACCGCGAACAAAAAAAAACCGTTATAGGAACATATGTCTCTTATAAATTTATTTGAAATACATTCGAAAAAGCGGTTCCTATTTTCAACATTGGATGCGACTATACTTGTATATAGTAGATCAGACGCAATACAGCAAGCAATTTGTCAGCCAAGTATGGTGTTGTTATAGAACGTTACACAAAATGGTTACTGAAGCACACTTGAAAACATTTTAAAACTCTCATACCGATTATAATTATTAAGTGCACCCGAAATATGAACTTTAAATTGCTTCGCTGTGCAACCAGAACGACTGACTAACTATTGTCACGACCAGACCACAGGCCTTTATGTAGAGGTAGCGCTGGGTACGCCATAAAGCAAAGGCACGCCTCGATCAGCCATATTTATAGCCAGTCATAAATGAGCGATTTAACAATAGATCGGACTACTATGATTCCTGAACGGAGCCTGCACAACACCTGATCGCCAGACGGGACCTCAGACCACTCGACCAATTTATTGGGGAGCATTTAAATTATTTTCACTGTAATTTATTATATTTAATAAATCGACCAAATAAATATATATGTATACATTTGTTTTTCGCTTTGTCAGTCAATAAACCGGGCCAATAATCTTGAACTTGGGGCGGCAATATCAGTGGGCAGGAACAAATTGGCGTTAAGTTACTAGGGGGGACATAATACCATAAATAATACCAACAATCTATGTATGGAGGGGTTGCAGATTTTTTTAAAATTTGACACCAATTCGAAAAAGGAAAGGGGCACTCTGAAGGTCCCCATGCTGTAATCAATTTCTTATCATCTAGCACCGAAGGCTATTTAGCGGTAACTGGACCCAATCCGATTTATACTCTAATAATAGAGAATATGAAATTCCGTTCATGGAACTACAGCTGCAGCCGCTGCTGCATTAGTTCTAAAAACAAAGCTGTATGGACAAGTTCTAAAAAATAAACAATACCCTTTGTTTACAAAAATTATGGCGCCGCTTTTTATAACGAATTTCGCGACTGGCATACTGTTGCACTTGTTTTTCAATTTTATCGAAGTGGGAAGTACGAGTAAGACGATTTTATTTCAAGTGCGCAAAATTTTTTCTTCATCATTCTTTTCATAATAAACAAAAACAAAGAAGCAACTAAATAGTGGAATATCAAAATATCTCTATCCTCCATGTACTTAGGAGGCCTGCCTAGCATTCTGAAAGTTTTGCGAACATGACAATTTTAGTACGATAAGAATTACCGATCTTGCCCTAGCTCTTTAGCTCAAGCAGTTCGCTAGTAAGTCAATCGGTTTCTAGCAAATGAATAAATAAGACTTGCTTTTGGATGGAAACAATTGTACACATTTCAATTGCGTGACTGTATTGAGTTCTTCTTTTGCCAATTGCTTTATGGACATATTTTTAAAGAAACGGCACTAAATTCGTGGAAGTTATTGTTGTCTAATTATAGCTCAAGTTTACCCTTTTTTGTTTTATCTGGTTCTGTACGAGTATATTTAAAACATGACACTAATACAAGTATGGACACATAAAGATAAAAGCACCATATTAATAACGTTCCAAAGACGCAATTAGAAAGACATTATAAAAATCATTTGAAAAGGTATTATCATACAACTAAACGATAATTTTTGCATCATAAACATTTTTAAAATGGCTCCGGATAACTAAGACGGTAATATAATGGTAGATCTTATCTAACTAGCTCATGGCAAATTCGAACAAAAGAGTTTGGAGTTCGCTGTTGCAGACCAGGCTTGTTTCAGACTCGAAATCGTACATACTTGTACTATTATAGGTTTGGTCTTTTCATATATTTTAGAATTTTAATTGGATGTAGTTTAGAATTAGGAATTGTTGAATTTTTTATTTAAGTTACATAATGACCGACTTGTTTGAAGTGAATTTTCGGTGCTTAAGAGAAATGTTGAGATGCTCTGTTTGCTAACAGCTGTAAACAACCTTGATTGTTTGTTTGCTTACTCCTATAAGTTTGGTCATTTCATATATTTGGGAATTTTAATT